GCTGTCCTCCTGATGCGAGGGAGATGCCAATCTAAGTCATAGCCTTCCATTAAAGATCGTGGAAGTAAGAAGGGTCGTTGGAGGCCATCAACTCCCATCCCGTATTTTACAGAGAAGAAATTCCTGGTCGTGACTTTGAGTTGGGACAGGCTCTCTGACAAGTGTGGGAAGAAGACAGCCACCTAATTATGCATCTGCTAATGAACAATGAAGAGGATGTAGGATTTGGTGGCAGGACGCTTGGGTTTGAATCTCAGCTTTGCTACTACCGGTGACCTTGTGCTTCTCCTTGGAATCACAGACTTTAAGTAGCCATCTAATCCACCACACACACACACACACACACACAGAATAATCTCTAGAGCATAAAGGAATGCAAAACCATTTATTAAACACTCAAGTGATGTGCCAGGCTCTGTGCTAAGTGCTCAGAGATACAAACAATAATCAGAAGGTCCCTGCTCTCAGGGAGCTCACACATTGATTGGGAGATACAAAACACAAAAGAAAGTCAGTCTCAGGGCAGATGGTAAGGACCGGGGGACTTTAAGAAACAATGATAGGGCAAATGGTAAGGTTTCTTTTGACTTCCCTCTCCTCCAAGCTGAGTGAGTCATCGGCCAGCGTGAAGGGGGAAGGCCTGGGGAGAAGGGGATGACAAGGGGAGGGGGCTCCCAGTGCCGGTGGTTCTTGAACCCCAGCAGGCCCAAGTGGAGATGGGGCAATGTTTGGAAGAAGACAAGAGAGGAGACAGCATGGCGCAAGGAGGGATCCAGCCTTTCTGGTCCACTCCGTCCCTGGGGAGGAAGGCAGCTGTAAGGGGGTATGAAGATATACTGTCTGTCTCTGTTCCAGACTCTTGAACCCCATGACTTAAAGCAGAGAGAGTGTGGTGCCATGGAATCTGGAGGCAGAGGGTCTGGGCGGGACTACATGACCTTTAATGTCCCTTCCAGCTTTGATCCTACGAGCATTGGTAATGGATGGACACTTTCTCTCCCAAGAAGGCAAGCAGACAGATTGCCAGTCCTGTAGGAGTTTCTACACTAGCATACCCCCAACACCCCGTATGAATCTGTTCCCCCAAATATAATGGGAGGAACAATTTCCTAAGAATTGGAGCTGTCGGGTGCAATGGGCTGCCACAGGGGCAGAGTGGACCTTTGCATTGGAGAGTTTTGCTGAAGTTTCTTCCAACTTTAAGTTTCTATAACTGTCCTTGATGCAGAAATACTCAGAGGATCTCCCCCTCCCTGGGTCAGGTCCCTCCTCCCCTCGCCCCCAAGGCAGTCTTATGCTGATGCATCTTGAGTGAGCAGAAAAAAAGAGGAGGAGGAAGAGGAGGGATTCTTTTAATGAACTGAAATTCCCACGGTTGCCTCCCCTCCCTCAGAGCCTGTCCTCCCTCTGACTGAGAGGAAGGCCCCAAGCCTCTCAATGGTTTAGGCCAAACCTGGTTCTATTGAGTTCTACCTGGGGTTGAAGGAATGAATGAATGAATGAATGAAGAATGAAGTAACAAGCATTTATTAAGGACTTGCTATGCGCAAAGAACTGTACTAAAGGATGGGCATTCAAAGAGAAAAGCAAACAAACCCTACTCTCAAAGGGCTCATAATCTAATAGGAGAAACCCCATATGGAGGAGGTTTCAGCTTCAACAGATGGAAAGTCCCTGTGGGCCTTGGTGGGCGGTGGCAAAGCAGATGGTGGGGGCCGAGTCTGCAAGTCAGAGAGAGTCATCTAGGTCTGAGGTGGCACTAACCACCGAGCCTCAGATGTTGTTGGGAACTCATACGCCGCCGGGCCTATGAGGGGACCCCGCCCATCCCCCTCTCCCCACCAAGACTCACCCCTCATCTTGCTCTCTGGAGCCCATCCTCCCTTCACAGGCTCCCCACCCCCAAGCTGACAATTCTGGGTAGCTTTGCCTACGGCCAGAATGTTGGCTTTGATAAGAGGGGAGTGACTGGGCCGACAGGGGTCTGCCTATTGATGGGTGCTGGGAGAGCCCCCAGACACAAAAGAACTCCTGCTGCCTCTACCTCAATGGAATTTGAAATTCTTCTAATAAGGAACTCCTTCTTTCCTGCCCCAATCAGAATGAAACCTATGCCTGATGAGATGTAAAAAGGGTCAGAGGCTGGGCCCTGGGAGCCACTGATTGAACAGAGGCTCTCCTTGCTCTACGTGGCTTCCTGGAATTCCCCTTGGTTTCCCCGGCTTAGGTCAGGGGCTGTTTTCTCCATAAAGCCTTTTCTGGTGCCTGGTGCCTGGGGTGTGTGTGTGTGTGTGGTGTGTGTGTGTGTGTGTGTGTGTGTGTGTGTGTGTGTCCTTCTAGAATGGAAACTCCTTCAGGACAGGAACCGTTTCATTTTTGGTTTTGTATCCTCACCACCAAGCACACTGCTTGGTATATAGTAGGTGCTTAATAAATGCTTGTTGAAGGAAGGAAGAAAAGAATAAGCAATAAATGGATAGCTGGGCAGGAGGCAGCTAGGTGGCATAGTGGATAGAGTGCTGAGCCTGGAGTTCAAATCCAGCCTCAGACGCTTACTAGCTGTGTGACCCTAGACAAGTCATTTTACCCAGTGTGCCTCAGTTTCCTCATCTGTAAAATGAGCTGGAGAAGGAAATGGCCAATCACTCCAGTATCTTTGCCAAGAAAACTCCCAGATGGGGTCATGAAGAGTTGGACACGATGAAATGATACAACAACATGAGCTGGGCAGGAGAAAAGGGTTTCCTTGAGTAAGTGTAGGGAACGCTCAAGGAAGGGACTCCCTCTAGTGCTAGAATGAACTTTAACCTTAGGGTCTTGGGGAGTGAGGCGGGAAGGGGAATGAGGGGAGCGGCACTTGGACCCTGGCTTCCCTGGCTCAGAGGCCAGCTCTTGTCCACTGAACCACCCGGTCTCTTCTCCATCAGTTTTAGGTGGGGCAGGGAGGGAAGAGCTAGACTTCCCTGGAGGAGGGGATTCCCAAGGAGTCGATTCCACCAGGGCAGCGCTGCGCATGCTCTGTGATCTGCAGTCTTATCGGGTCAGGCCTGGCTGTCTGGACCACTGAGGAGGGGTCATCCTGCCTGTGTGTGACAGAGGCGGCACTTGGAGGCCAGCTTTCCATCGGCGGTGGCTCTACGCCTCATTTGACATGAGCTATCATAAGACTGCTGGACGGTGGTGCAGGTGTGGTTCTGGGGAGGGAAATGGAAGGGGTGATGGGGGAGGGTGGGCTGGAGCCTGAGGAAATCCCAGGGAAACCTCAAGAGTTTCTTCCTGAGGGATGCTGAGGTTTCTCTTCTCCCTGCTGGCTGCCCAACAGGAAGCATGCGAGTTTCTGAGGCCAGTTGTCTCATGCACAGGATGAAGAGATGCTCTGGACCGAGGGCTTCATTCTGGAATTGGCTTTGGAGCTCACATGGAGCAAGAGAGGAAGCACGTGCAGGGGAATGGGAGTAGGAGCATAGAACGTGACAGCAAGAAGGGGTTCAGAGTTCAACCAGCCCAACCACCTCATTTTACAGAGGAGGAAACCGAGGCACTGAGAGGGGCAGGGATTTGGTCAAGAGCAAACTCATCTACTCGCCCATTCCTCTGTTGTTATTCAGTCATGTCTGATACTGCAGTGGTTCGCCATTTCCTTCTCCAGTTCATCTGACAGGTGAGGAAACTGAGGCAAACTGGGTGAAGTGACTTGCCCAGGGTCACACAGCTAGTAAGTATCTGAGACTGGATTTGAACTCAAGATGAGTCTTCCTGATTCCAACCCCAGCGATCTGTGCACTATGGCGCCACCTAGCTGCCCATCTAACCCATCTAATAAGTGTTTATTTATTAAGTCCTGCTATTTGCCAGGTGTTATTCCCATGCTAGGTGCTAGGTATGCAGACTAAAATCTAAGTGTCCCTGCTTTCAATAGAGATTAGCTTTCACTGGGGTGAAACACAGATAAGCAAATGGAATTGAATTACAAAGTAATTTGGGGGTCTGAGTAGTTCTGATTCACTAGTAACCGAGGAGGTCAAAATGGGCCAGACTTAGTAGACAGTTTGTTGGTAAGGTTTCCAAGAGGCAGAGGTGAGAAGGGAGAGCATTTCAGGCACTGGTGGGGAAAGGCCCGTACAAAGGTGCAGAGGTGGGAGATGGGATGTCCTGTCCAGGGAGCAAGAAGGACAGTCTGGCTAGAATGTAGAGTGAGTGATAGAGCTGGGGTTCACAGAGAGGTCCTCTGTCTACAAATCCAGCCCTTTCCCACTATACCAAGCTGCACTCTCAGACACTTAGAGGGAGCTGTCTTAGGGTTTCAGGTTCCTATATTAGGCCTCTCCTCACTCTCAGCTGGGAAAAAAAAATAGCCTGACCTTCTGGGCTTGAACCCTTGGCCTTGGACTGGAGCAGGAACGAAGGTCCTTGTGGGGAAGCAGCCCTCCAGCACTCCCCGAGTGTGTCCTCAGGGGCTTGGTCAAGGAAGGAGAGTGTAGATGAATGCAGAGGCGAGTGTGGTATCAGCTCCAATGAGCAGAGAAAGTGAGGAGGAATTGGCCCAGATACCGCCTGGTATCCCTCAGCTCAGCAGGCAGGGATGCATAGATCTGGAGCTGGAAGCCGACTTGTCCAGGCTCATTTGACAGATGAGGAAACTGAGGCCCCAGGGAGTCAGTGGATGGCTTACAGCCACCTAGGAAGTACTCATCAGAGGGGAAAATCGAACCCAAGTGTTCTGGTTCCAGGGCCAGGACTCTTCCCTGCATCGAGCAGGCTCTCCTCTAACCCAGTCATCACCCAACCTCCCAGCCCTGAGACCGGCATGTGGTACTGGTGGGTGCCACCTTAGTCCCAAGACCCTTCTGGACGGGGGCTTCTTCCCACAAGCTCTGGCAGGCTGCCAGTCATCTCTGATTCCTTCCACCGGGCTGGGCGGGAGTTACCCTTGACTCCTGACTTCTGCAGCTCCCATCGGTCCATCTGCTGACCAGGCAGGAGGGAGTTAACTCCTTATCACCCCGCAGGAGACTTGCTTGAGAAGAGAGCCCTGTGTGTGCGCTGTGCATCTATGGGGGGAACCAAGACAGGGCACACCCCTTAGAGGAGGTGCCTTCCTGGGGCCTCCCCTCCCCTCTCCTCCTCCTTGCTCTTCTTACTCCCTCTCCAGATGATCAGGGTCTAGGACATTCCCGTCCAGCCTCTGAACCTCCAGCCCTGCCGGGGCTCCCCCTGAGCCTGACCAGGGGACCTAGCCCCAGAGCCCAGGAGTGCTTGCTCACGTTCCTGTCCATCTCCAGCCCAGGGCAGGCAGCTGTTCAGTCTCCTTTGGGGTAAGTAGCTAGGGCTATTCCCATTTCTCCGAACCTGTCCGGGCTGTCAGAGGACCCTGCAAATGAATGGGTGTTGGTGGGAGGGGAGGGGAATGGGACGGGAGGAGGGGGTCTCTCTTTGTGTTTCTGGCTGGGTGGGAGGAGTGGGGTGGGGCTCCAGACTGGCCTCCCAGGACCTCAGGACCCTTTGCCCCCCTGGGTCTGGTTTGGCGTGAGACCTGATAAAGACAGCTGTGAATTCCTTCTGGGAGAACAGAGACGAAAAGGGGGGAGGTAAGAGCAGATGTCGGACAGAGGGAGAGGCTGGTGGGTGCTGATGCCTGAGGGGCATCAGTCTGATTCAGGGTGGGGCTCTGGTCAGGAAAGTGGGGTGCAGGGGGGATGCAGAGGAAGCAGAGGCTCTGGGGAGCAGGAGACCGAGAGGAGGGTCAGGGGCCAGGCGGGCCTGTCAAAGGGAACCATCCTTCCCGGCAGCCAGCCAGAAGATGGCTTTCAGACTTAGGAGCCTATGGTAATAAGAAGCCATGAATCAAGGTTTTATGGTCACAGCTGCTTCAGCAAGGAAGCAGCTCTATCTGGGTGAAGAGTGCAGCCCCACCCAGGTCTGAGGGAGCCATCACCCCAACGGCCCTGGGGGCTCGGATGAACTCCCGTACTCTGCCTTGCCATGTCCCTCTCCCTGGCTTCTGTCGCTGTTACTGACACCTGTCTCTAGCCCTACCTCAAAGTCTGGACCCTGTGCTCCGTCCCATGTCCCCAGCCCCGTCCCAAATCCTTTTTCCATTCCTTCCCTTGTCCTACCCTTGCCTCCCTCCCTGCCCTGCTCCTGCCTTCCCTCTCTCTTCTTTTCCCTTCTTCTCTTCCTTCCTATCCTCTTCTCACCCTCCATCCCCTCCCTAGCCCCATTTCTCCCTACCCTGACTTCTGGTAGACTGAGGCTGCCCCCGCCACCCTAGAGCTGAGCAGGGGAGAGGGGCCCTGGGAGCAGAGTCATAGAGCTACTTCCCCACCCTTAGAAGGCCTGGCCACCATGCCCTCGTGACAGCTGTGGTTTCAGTTTGCCCACGAGGGTGACGTTGTACAGTACAGGAAGCTCCCTTATGTGGGGCTCAGAGCCCTAGGTAAGGCCTTATGGAGGGGCCCAGACCAGAGAACTAGGCAGGGCAAGCTAATGGTTAGTGCTCAGTGCTTTGCCATAGACCGAAGGCTGGGAACGCCAGGAACTTGGAGCCCGCCTTGGCAGCGTGTTTGGGGAGTTTGGGGGGGCTCCTGCCTTCACAATGGCATCTTCTGAGAATACATCCATGTAACACATATGCACACATGTGTTTCAGTGTGTATATACATATATTTATATGCATATATGTTATATACACATATGTTTATATAAAAATATATATATTTGAGCAAACCTTCGATTTCATCAGTATGTGGGGGGCTCCTGGTGAGGGCCACCCTCTCGCTGTGTAGAGCTACATCTGCTCTGCCACGTAAGAGATATTTTAATATAGTTTAGTGCCAGGGGCACTGAGAGGTAACGTGTCCTGCCCAGGGTCATATAACCAGTGTCAAAGGCGGAACTCGAACCTAGGTCTGACTGACCCAGAGGCTCTCACTCCCCTCCACCAAGCTGCCTCTCTGCAAATGACTTTTCTGTTTGGTGACATCATCCCACAGGTTTCAGGGCCTGCCCAGAGTTCCACAGAAGGACTCAGTGATTAGCCAGACTGGTGATGCAGCTGGAAAATACAAATAGGTTCCCAGAAAAGTGACTTTAAAAAAAAAAAACCAAACAACTTTTATCGGTTCCTTCTACTTTCCCATCATAATCATTGCTAGACATTCACATCCCAAAATGGAACCCTCCCTTATAACAGAGAAAAATAGTTCAACAGAGGCAACTATGCCATGGCCTCCTTATCTGGAGATGGATGCAGCATTCTGCCCCGGAGGCTCCCACTTCTCTTTAAGGCAAGGAAACTATGTAACAAGATCTGTTCTCTGGATTCTCCAGGGTTGTTCGGGGCTTTTCAGTTACACGGAGGCTGGAGTCCTTTGAATGGCCTCTTCATTTACATTTACTATTATTAATAACACATAATAGTATTATAATAATATCAATAACACATTAATATCAACAATATATTATAAACTATATGAGAGTAATAGTGTAGATTATATATTATATATAGTACAATATTAATATGCTACTATACTATGTTGTTATGGTTATCATTACAATATAGTCATTAATGATGTATTATATGTAATATAATATATTAATGCCGTATGACATTATTATACATTATATGCTGTTAATAAATATTACTAATATATAATTATTATAATAGCTAATGTTCATGTAGCACTTACTATATTGTAGCTACTGTGCTAAGTGTTTTACAATTATTATCTCATTTGATTCTTACAATAAACCTGGGAGGTAGGTGCTATTATTATCCCCATTTTACAGATAGGAAAACTGAGGCAGACAGCAGTTAAGTGACTTTCCTGGGGTGATATAGCTCATTTGATCCTTACAACAACTCTGGGGAGGGTTTTTTTTTTTTAACATACGAGGAAACTGAAGCAGACAGATTAAATGACTTGCCCAGAGTTACATAGCCAGTAAGTGTTTATGCCTCTGGATTTGAACTCGGGTCTTCCTGCCTCCAGGACCAGCACTCTAGCCATTGCACCACCTAACTGCTCCTCCTCGGTACCGTCACCATGTATCTTGTTCTGGCTCCGTTTGCTTTTTTTCTGCTTAAATTCTTGAAAATCCTCCCATGTTTCTCCGAATTCCTCATCTCTGTCATTTCCTAACCTGAGTTTTGCTTAAAGCCCCTCCCTTCCCACAGTGGCCGTGTCCATTTCTGAACAGCTTGGATGGCTGGGAAGTATCTCCTTCCACGAAACCTCATATCCTTACATCCACCCTATTTGGCAAAGCATGGGGAAATCGACTTTTCCACTCCATTCACACGGCACAGTTTGCTCAGCCGTAGACTTCCAAAGAGTCTAGAAAATCTAGAAAACAGAGTTTGTGGGATACAGTGAAAAGAACCTGGGTTCTAGTGCTGGCTCTGGCCCCAAGTAGCTAATCTCAGACAAAGTCCCTGCTCCTCTCCAGGCCTGAATTTCCCCACCTGTACAGCAAAGACATCGACTTAGGATCTAGGTAGGATGTAGAACTCATTTGGGTAGTATCTAGTCCACACCATTCCCCCCTCTCTTGCTGTACACATGGGGAAACTGAGATATGAATAGGGGGAAATGATTTGCCCAAGGTCACTAAGCGATTCTCAAACATAATAAACTGCAGAAAGTTGCTGACCAGGATGGAGTGCTGGGCCTGGAGTCAGGAAGACCTAAATTCAAATTTGACACTTACTAGCTGTGTGACCCTGGGCAAGTCACTTTACCCTGTTTGCCTCAGTTTCCTCATCTATAAAATGAGCTGGAGAAAGAAATGACAAACCACTACAGTATCTTTGCCAAGGAAACCCTGAATGGGGTTGCCCAAGGCAGCTAGTTCAGGGAGCTAAGAGTAGAATTCAAGGTCTTTGATATCAAATTTAGGGCTCCTTCCAGTCCAACATTCTGATAAGGTGACCTCCAAGTTTGAATCTTCTATGAAATACTCAATAATAAAGTTGATCAAGCTGGGGGACCCAGATATGATTCCCAATCATCCTTCCCCACCCCCAGCTCCACAGTAAAGGTATTGTGACCTTCCTCCATATAAACAAGATAAAGTGAACGTCCTCTAGTACGTGATGGGACAGTCCATACACTACTCTGCAAACCTTAGAGCTATGTATTAACATGGGCCATCACCCTTATTTTTACTACTGTTGCCATGATTGTAATTACTGGAAAGTCCTGTGCAGCTCCAATAGAACCAGAAACTGGGATTGCCCAGGAGTAAACTGTCTCCATGGTTACAGCCCCCCTCCCCCCAGGCTCTGTTTCACGCTAGCACTATAGATTCAGAGCTGGAAGGGGCTTTTTTTTTTAACCAAATAAGGAGTTGGTGTGATGCAATGGAAAGAATGTATGAGCATTCAATCGTTGGGGACATTATTTTTATTCATCAAACTAAAAAAAAACCTCCTAAACTTATTTTTTAAATTAACAACTAAACTTTGTTTAAAAATAGAAACTTAAAAAATGTGACACAAAATACTGATTTTTTTTCTTCCTGCAGTGATGAGCAGGCGTCCGTAAGGATGCAGTCCTTCTTTGCAATTTGTTCCTTACCAGATGATGAGCTAACTGAAGCTGCCCAGAACAAGGGCAGGAAAGGGAGGGAGGCACCAATGGTTGTGCTTCAGTTTGTTAGTGGGGGCTCATGCTGTCAGTGACTGCACACTTTCTATCCTGTAGGCTTTCTGAAAATTTGTGGATGGAGAGATGGACTTGAAGTCAGACAGATGTGTGTGTGTGTGTGTATGTGTGTGTGTACGTGTGTGTGTGTGTGTATGTGTGTGTGTACGTGTGTGTGTGTGTGTGTGTGTGTATGTAGAGAGAGAGATGCTGCTGCTGCTGCTGATGATGATGAAGGCACTTAAGCTCTCTGTCTTGGTTTCCTCATTGGCAAAATATGAATAAGAAAAGCACTTACTCCTCAGGGCTTCTGGGAGGATCAAATGAAGCAACATATGTAAAATGCTTTGAAAATCTGAAAGAAAGAAGGACTGGACCTATTTCAGGGGTCTGGAGAACTCCCGGGTGAGGAAATTCCCTCCACCAATACCGGCTAGTTTGTAGTTGTTTACTCATTTTCACTCATGTCCAACTCTCCATGACCCCATTTAGGGTTTGCTTGGCAAACGTACTGGAGTAGTTCCTCATTTCCTTCTCCAGAACATTTTACAGATGAGGAAACTGAGGCAAACAGGGTGAAGTGACTTGCCCAGGGTCACATAGCTAGGAAGTACCAGATTTGAACTCAGGTCTTCCTGATTCCAGGCCCAGCACTCTATTCTGCAATTTATTGTCTTAGAGAATTTTCTAGAGTGTTGAGAGGCTTACTGATTTGTCCAGAGTCCTGCAGCCGTTATGTGCCAGAAGCATGACTCGAACCCAGGTCTTCCTGGCTTAAAGGTCAGTTCTCTATCCTCCATAGCACACACTGCCTCTCTATGACCCTTAAAGTACTACCAAGATGTGTTCTCATAGACAGTGGCTTCCCCACACCTTTTCCCAAATACTGTTTCTCAGAAATCTTCACAAAGCTATCCCGGAAGTCCTATTTCCAACAAGTCAGTACCGCTGCACAGTTACGTAATGTTTGAGATGATGAAGATGGTGAGGACGATGCCATTTGGTACTCAAAGTGAAAGAGCATCACGCAATTAAATTAAAATGCAAAGATGCCCTGTGCCTGGCACACCCAGGACACACCAGCCTCCTGCCAAAGAAGACAAAGCTCTTAAACAGCAGAGCAAAACAGGACATTGCAGTAGAAAGAGGTTTGCCTCCAGAGGCATAGAACCTGGATTAAAATCCTGATGGTTTGGGGTTTTATTTTTTAATTTTTGGAGGCAATCGGAATTAAATGACATACCCAGGGTCACACAGCTCGTAAGTGTCTGTGGTCAAATTTGAACTCGGGTCCTCCTCACTCTAGTCGTGGTGCTCTATTCACTGCACCACCCAGCCACTCTGGTATGGTGTTTTGTTTTTTTTTTTATCTCCAACCAAATCCCTGGTTTTCTTTCTACAGTTTTCCCACAATAGATCCAAAGCCTTAACCGTCACATTGGCTTGTAGTCGGTCTTGGGGCTTCAGGGAAGATCCTGGTTATATTACTACGCCCTGCCCTTCCTGCCTTCCCAATAAAGCCCTGGATTTGTAAACGCTCACATTTGTATCCTAACCACTGATTAGTCTCCTCGATCTAGCCTGTCTTAGTAAAACACTTTACTAATATTTTACTAGTTACAAATTAAGGGCGGCTAGGTGGCACAGTGGATAGAGTGCTGGGCCTGGAGTCAGGAAAACCTGAGTTCAAATCTGACACTTACGGTCTGTGTTACTCTGGGTGAGTCACTTTTCCCTATTTGCCTCAGTTTCCTCATCTGTCACTTTGCCAAAAAAAAAGAAAAAACCCATATGTGGTCATGAAGAGTCTGAAACGACTGAACAACAAAAGTTACTAGTATCGCCACCCTTCCACATCTAAGAAAGTTCCAAGGCAGGGGGCTGATACCTAAGGCTTACATCTTCTACCTATTACTTCTATCAGCGAGGCTTTGAGAAAGTAATTTCCCCTCCTTGGACGCTGTTTCCTCATCTGCAAAATAACAGGCTTGGATCTAAATCTAGGGTACTGTGATACCAACCCACATCTTCTGCCTCCACATTCCAAGGTCCCTTGACTTTAAACCAAGGGACTGTGGTTCAGAAGTCTTGATCAAAGACCTGTGGGGTCTTCAACTCCACTTTCAGAACACCTCCCTCCCCAGGTATAAAGGTGGATACAATAGGGCCAATCTCAAGCCACCTGGGCCCAAAGTCTTTCTTTTCATTAGGGTAGCCTTCTTCTTCCTAGTCTAAGTAAAATTAAAGCCAAAGACCTGAGCGGTATACATGTACACATATGTGTGCATGTATGTATACATGTGTAATAGACACAGACATGGAAAAAGACATGGACATAGACATAAACATAAGTGGGGGCAGACCTGTGATTTCATTGGTACAGGGAATTCCTGATAAGGAAAATCTCTACCAATACCAGTGAGCCCCGATGTTGGAACTTAGGGTCTTTATTTTATTTTTTCAATTGTTAAGCACTTACTGTTGCCTCCTTCCTACTCCCCCCCCCACTAGAAAAAAAAACACACTAAAACCCTTGTAACAAATACATGTAATGAAGCAAAACAGGTTCCCATATTGACAACGTTAAAAACTGTGTGTCTCAGTCTGCATGTTAACCCACCAGCTCTCAGAGGTAGGGACCGTGTTTTATCATTGGTCCTCTGGAATAATCAGACTTCTTAAGTTTTTCAAAATTGTTTGTTTTTACAATGTCGGTGTTATAGCATGGATTGTGCTTTTGACTCAATTTATTAAATTATGAATCATTAAATCAAATCATTTATTAAATTACGAAATAACTTTTAGATTCAGAGAGGTTCAGTGGTTTGCCCAGGATCACACAGCCAGAACCCAGCTCTTTCTGACTCCATGACTACCTCTCTAGTGTCTTTCTAAGACTCATCACCCACCCCCACCCCCAATCATCACCTCCCAGGCTGGCCTTGGCTCTCCTGCTTTCTCATGGTACTCTTTGCTTTTTGCCCACTCTCTGGCCTTGGAAAACATTTGTTTCTTTCTCTGTTCCTGCCTGGCCTTGCAAAACCTTTCTGAGTCTCTTTCTTTCTGAAGACGACCTCTTGGGAAGATCCTGAGAACCTCTGGGAAGAGATAAGACAGGGTACCCTCCTCCGCCCCAAGATGCCTGAGCCAGACACAGGGCAGGCCTTCCGGCTGGAGACTACGGAAGGTGACCAGGAAGGGGGGACAGCAGCCACTGCTGGCGCTACGGGGAGAGAGAGGATCTAGAGACCAGCTGCCCCCAATGGAGTCGGCCTTCCAGAAAGAGAGCAAGAGCTTCTCCCCTCAGATAAAAGTTAATCTGAATTACCGGAAAGGAGTAGGTCCCAGGTAAGCAGAGGGCTCCGGGGATCAGGCTTGTCTTAGTGGGTATTCCTGGTTCTTTCCATGGACAAATCATCTCTCTGGGCCTTGTAAAATGGGACTTGATCAAGGGTCGTTAACCTGGAGTCCGTGCGCTCATTAAAAAAAAAGACTTCATTAATTATATTTTGATGCAATAATTAGTCTTGGTAATCCTAAGCATTTTATTTTGTGCATTTAAAAACATTATTCTGAGCAGAGATCTCTAGGTTTCACCAGACTGCCCAATTGGTCCATGATGCAACAGGTCCAACCCCCCAGATCTCTAATATCCCTTTTGCTTTTAAATCCCACGTTTCTTATCTCCAAGACCAATCCTGGTCCATCAAGGAGGAGACTGAAGAGAGTACATTAATTGGGGGGTTGGATAGAGGGAGAGGGAGCTGGGGAAAAGACCTTCAGTGTTCTTCCCCTATAGGCTCTTGACGGCTCTCCCATCCCAGGCTTTCTCCCTCTTTAGGATAGCCTGGAAACTGACTTTCTCTGGGCTTCTCCTGATTTTCATGGGCTTTGGTTCAATCCTGGGGTGGGGAACCTACATAAAATGAAGGGAGTGGACCTCCAAGGTCTCTTCCAGTTTTAAATCAACCATGTGATTCTTAATCAGTCATCAATACTACAAAATGCACCATCACATTGGATACTGGGAGAATCCGATATGTCTGAGGTCTTGGGGGCAGACCATAAAGGGTTGGCATCTAATGAGGTTCATAGAACATTGAAGCTGGATGGGACCTTGGAAGTCCTCTGGTCAACACTCCAGTCAGTAGTGGGGCCTCTGAAGCCAAATTCACTACAGGGGCAGAGATTTTTCCCTAGGGGGACACCGCCCAGTTTAATCTTCTATCTCCTGTTTCTCCTGCATCCCTTGGCAGCCCATCGGATCCAAACCGTTTTGACCGTGACCGACTCTTCAATGCAGTGGTGGGGGGAAACCCGGACAGCCTGGGTGGTTTGAAAGAGTATCTGATGTTGACCAGCAAATATCTCACGGACTCTGAATTCACAGGTATGGCCCCAGAGCTGCTACTAGCAGCTTTTTGCACCCAAGGCGAGTACCATGAACAGCCCGGGGGGAGCCTATAGGGCCACTCCTGCTTGGGGAGGCTTTGGTGGTGGTTTGGAAGACAGGAAATTAGGGTAAGCCAGGGATGAGCTCACTCCAGTGCTGCCAGAGTTGGGGATGGTGAGGAGGAAGCATCGCATGCTGGGTTCCTAATGTAACCAACTACTCTTGCTGGGTAGACAGTAAACTGTTTCAACGTTGCCAAAGGACTCTGAGATGGTGAGCACGGGCTTGCCCATGTTCCATACAGAGGTCTAGGTTCTTTTGGCCCAGTGGGATGGATGGACAGATGGTGTTCACAGAGCTGTAATCACCAATTTTGGTTTGCATGGGGAAGGGGGTAGCAAGGGACAAATTCCATAACACCTGCCTGGTGTATCTTTTTAAGACATGCTCAGTTGAAAGGGGAAGAAAGAGTCCAGGACATAAGGCCCCATGGCAGAGGAGACAGAGATCCAGGAGCCCATGATCACTTCCTACTTTAATGAATTATTCTTGCTAATTAGGCTCTAATCTCAGGTGCTTCTATCCCACTATATCTTAACGTGTGTGCCCTGAGGCAAAGCCACTGTGGCCCAGCCCTAGTTACAGCTCTCAATACAAAGCCTAAACTTTGTCCTTCCCTGATGACTTAGATGCAGAAATGGTGACAAGCGGCCATGCACATTGATATCAACAAAATCTATTTCCCATATTAGTGAGAAAAGCAGAATTGTCTAATGGTAGCCCCTTGTGGACTCCACTTTCTCAGGGCTGAGCCCAGGGTCAACCACCTGTTCTGCCCTATCTCCAAGTCAATTTCCTGGGGTCCCAGATCGGAGGGGTGGAGGGTACCAGAAGAATTCATAGTAAAGGGTTCTTGTAAACACTAAAACGTTATGACTTGAGAGCTATTTTGTTCCTCTGTGAACTAGCTGTGTGAGCTGGGCAAATAACTGAACGTGTCCGTGCTTCATCGGTAAAATGAGGAGGTTAGACTCAATGACTTTCCACCTTTCTATCTATGATCCTAGGTGCTCCCTTCCTGGTCTCAGTGTAATCTGATTCTGTTTCCAACAAATGCTGCACCCCAGTCTGACCATAGTCCCCAAGGACCCCCAGGATACTGGGCTGGGCAGGGCCTGACACAGGCTAGTAATCTAAATTCCCCCAGGAGTTTAGATCTGATATTGGAACAAAATGAGACACTCCTAAGTCATGCAACAGTTAGCAAAAGGACATAAGTGGGAGAAGGATGTTCAACAAGGACAGGTCTTGAGGATCCCCCTGCCCCAGCTGATTCAGCTGAACGAAGCTCTCTTTCTTGAGTTACCCACCGAGGTCCCTCAGTCAAGCATCCGAGCACCCCTGGAGCTCCTCAGGCCTGTTTTGCACTCAGGTGACCAGGAAGTAATGCCAACAGCCTCAACCTTAGTCTTTGGAATCAACCAAGACTTAAGTGTGATCTCAATACCATTTAAGGAAAATTTATCCTGACTTACCTGGGGGGGAGGGATTGGAACAGCGCTGCCACACTGGGTGAATGACAAGCTCATCATTGCATCTGTGCTTCTGCCTACACATCTAAGTGCCCATCCCTCCCCAGCCTTCCAGACCCAGATTAAGTTATACCTCCTACAGGAAGCCTTCCTTGACTACACCAGCCTTCCCCAATCTCTTCTAAAATTTCCAGTCTATACAACACATTCAAAGACTGAATTGGCATCCAGTCCTATAATAAACATCATCCTGTGATGTTCTCTAATGATTTCATATATTAGAGTCATTTCTTTCTAACTAGACTCCCTGAGGGCAGGGACCATGTGTCTTATATTTAGCTGACATAGGCCTAGGTACACCATAGAGCTCAAGAGGACTTGTTGATTGACTGGTCCTGAGGAGGAGAGATCCCACTGGATCTGTGGAAAACCACTACTGGCATTAGCAAGGTTGAGGCTGAGTTTATTAGAACAGGAAGGTCAGGCATTCGATCCCTTTCTGTTTATCTCCCTTTGCCCCACCTAACCTCCCTGACAGATGCCTCCACTGGGAAAACCTGCCTGATGAAGGCTGTGCTGAATCTTCGGGATGGGATGAATGGGTGCATCTTACCGCTGCTACAGATCGACCAGGACACTCGGAACCCCCAGCCCCTCATCAAGGCCGTGTGCACTGGGGACTACTACAAAGGTAAGAGGGGAAGCAGGGGAATAACCGAGACATACCTGGAAGGCAAGACATACCTGGGTTTTCCAGGCCCTAACTGTTGATCTGGCAGCCTCAAGTGAGCCACAAAACCATTGAATTCTTAAGCTGGAAGGAACCTTAGAGATAGTCAGATTGAAAGCCTTCATTTTTCAGGAGGGGAAACTGAGGCTCAGAGAGAGGAAATGATTGATCACTTAGGGAGGCTAGTGACAGAGCTGGCACTAGAATCCAGGTCGCCTGACATCCAGTCCATTGCTTAAACTCTCCCAGTTTTTCTTTCCTCAACTGTAAAATGGGGGAGAAGAAGCCCAGTCCTATCCACGTCACAGGTTTGTTGTGAGGTTTAAATGAGACCAGAGAGGAGAGGATCCTTTTGAAAAGTAGGAGTATAGTAGGCCTAGGTATTTTTGTTGTTGTTTTCAGTGGTGTCCTACTCTTTGTGACCCCATTTTGGGGTTTCCTTGGCAGAGATACTGGAGCATTTTGCTATTTTTTTCTCCAGCTCATTTTATAGATAAGGAAACTGAGGCACACAGGCTTAAGTGACTTGCCCAGGGTCACATAGCTAGTAATTGTCTAAGGCCATATTTAAACTCTGTTCCTCCTGACTCCAGGGCCAATGCTGTATTCACCGTGCCACCTAGTTGCCCCTTATGCTGTTCTTTCAACCGAAACCATTTACCTCCTTCCGTATGCATTGAATGTGGAGACACAGGACCCAAGTTCAAATCTCAGCTTTGCCAATTATTGACTGGGGGCCTTTAGTAAGTTACTTAATGTCTCTCGACCCCAGTTTCTTCACCCATAAGATAACAAGATGCCCTCTAGATGATCTGAACTACCTAGCCCAGTCACCTTAGGTAACTAGATGATGTCTTAGGCCCTTTCTAGCCTAAAACTAGGATCTGAGGTCTTCTCAAGTTCCTCTGGATTCTTCGTGTTCACGGTTCCTTAGAGCACAATAATGTTGCATCGCATTTCCATACGGTGGTTGGTTTGGGCAAGCCCTACTCGATGTATCCAGTTTCTTGCTATCCCAAAAATGGCTTCCATGAATATTTTGATTTCCTTTGTTCATTTCTTTCTCCAGCTCATTTGACAGATGAGGAAACTGAGGCAGACAGGGTAAAGTGACTTGCCCAAGGTCACATATCTAGGATCTGTCTGAGACTGGATTTGAACTCAGGTCCTTCTGACTCCAGGCCCGGTGCTCTATCTACCACGCCATCTAGCTGCCCTTCTAAGATCATAAGACATGGTTATGTTATCACCGCCTTTCCCAATCACAGACTTCCTTGATAATGTCTTGCTGGCCACTTCTCAAGTCCATATGTTGTAGCCGCTTATATGTGCAGTAGAAATCATAGTAATAACTCACATTTATACTAAACTTGGAGAGGCAGTGTGGTATAGTGGATAGAGAGCCAGCTTTGGAATTATGAAGATTTGGGTCCAAGTCCTGTCACTAACACATACTGGCTGTATGACCCTGAGCAAGTCACTTAACCTCTGTTTGCCTTAGTTTCTTCAACAATGAAATGGACTAGATGGTCTCTACGGTCCCCTCCAGCTGTAAATTTATTAGTATATATTTTATTTATTTGTAGTTTATTTTTATTTATTCATAGTATATATTTAATCCATTTATAGTTTGTTTTATTTATTTATAATTTGTTTTTATTCATAGTTTATATTTGATCTATTTATAGTTTGTTTTTATTTATTCATGGGTTATATTTTAATTAGTTGATATCAGACTTCTAGGTGGAGAAGTACCATGAAGAACTTTATAGTATAGTCGCCATCTACTCCAGTCTCCTGTGACTTTAATGGTTCAGATTTAGACAGGAAAGAAGCCCAAAGTTCACAGACTGCCCAGAGGCCTCCCCCTGGTGACTTCTGCCTTTAAGAAGAGGGTCAGAAGGCAGAGAATGTGGTGAGCCCAAAACAACACCAACAAAGACATAATTGACTCTCTCGGACAGGAAATGACTCTGGACTCACGTGCCTGCTTTTTCATGTCTGTAAAGCCTTTTTTTAAAAACTTTTATTTTTTTATTAATTTATTTTGGCTTATCAACAATCACTTCCATAAGCTTTTGAGTTTTAAATTTTTCTCCTCTTCCCTCCCCAAGAGGGCGCGGAATCTGATATAGGCTATACATAGACATTCCTAATAGACTTATTTTCACATTAGTGACGTTGTAAGGAAGAATTAGAACCAATAGGAGGATTGGTTTTAATTTTTACTTACAACTTCACTAATGTGAAAGTATGTTTAATGGGTATGTAAATGTAAAACCTATGTCAGATTGTGCGCCGTCTTGGGGAGGGTGGGGGGGGGGACAAAAAGGGAGAAAAAATTTTCAACTCAAAAGCATATGGAAAAAAAATGTTTTTAAATAAAATAAAATTAAATTAAAAAAAAAAGAACCAAAAAGGAGGAACCATCAGAAAGAGGAAACGAAACAAAACACAAGAAAAAAATGGCAAATAGTATGCTTCAATCTGTATTCAAACTCCATAGTTCTTTCTCTGGATGTGGATAGCATTTTCCATCATGAGACCTTTGGAGATATCTTAGATCCTTGCATTGCTGAGAAGGGTTATCAAAGTTAGTCATCACACAACGATGTAAAGTCTTTATGAAGGTCTTTGATGTATATGTAGGGAGGTTGGCTTGAAAGCTGAGCATTTATGGGGAGATACCCATGCTGTGGCCCCTGGCTCTAAAGGGTGACCAGAGGCTATTAGCGGGCCCCGTGGTCTCTGTGAGGGCTAAGGATGGGGCACTGTGCCAAAGGGGATTGATAGTGGAGCTAGGGAGAACCAGCCACTCTGTGAGCCAAGAGGAGCCAGGAAAAATAGCTTTCTGGTCTCTTAAGCACCTAATGAATGCTGGTTGAGTTTAATTCCTAATGATGGCAAGAGAAGAGACCAGGTAAATTTTCATAAGACTTGAACAGAATACATCTTCAGTCATATAATTGATTAATAAGGCAAGGAGAGATTAATGAAATCCTTGAATGTCTGTTGTTTGTTGACGTGCAAAAAACATATTTGATTCTGTGGTGCCTTCCAGGCTTTCCTTAAGCACGTTGCCTCCTTTCTTGGGACATGTGCTAAAATCTGCCAAGGGTCCATGGCAGATGCAGCCATAGAGACAACTTTGTTGTTTAATATCTGCTAAGTGTTCATGCCTCCAATGAGGCATGAAACACAGAGACATATGCTTCCCAAAGGTATTTGTCATCACCACGGAGCATATTCATTTCAAGCAGGCAGTGTGGTAAGGTGAAAAGAGTCCCAGCTTTGGAATCAGAGAATCTGAGTTCAAACCCTGTCCTAGTCAGGGGACAGGGGAGTGTCACTATTTGGGGGGATACAGGAAGGCTTCAGGTGGGAGGTGGAAATACATGAGCTGCACCATGACAGACGATAAACATCCTGAAACAAGGATGAAAAGAAATAGAAATAGGGAGAGAGAGTCTTCCATCCCCTCTCTGTCAAGACATGGGTACCACTCTTCATCTTCCATCCCCTGGAATCATGGTTGATCATTGCATTGATCAGAGTTCTTAAGTCTTTCAAAGCTGTTTGTCTTTTTTTTTTTACAATAATACCTAAAAAATACAGCATTTTATTGAATTGATTACATTTTACATCCTTGCTTCTCTCAGGTCAATGATTACCTAGTCCTGTGTTTTACCATAGGACCAATGATTGTCATTTTAAAAAATGATATTTTATTTTCTCCCAATTACATATGAAAACAATATGTAACATTTGTTTTTGTTTGTCTTTTTAATGTTGTATTTTTACCAATTGTTCTCCTGGTTCTGCTCACTTCACTCTGTGTCAGTTCATACAAGCCTTCCCAGGTTTCTCTGAAACCATGCCCTTCATCATTTCTTACAGCACTGTAGTATTCCATTACATCCATGTTTTACCTAATTTGTTCAGCCGTCCCCCAATTGATGAGCACTACTGTAGCTTCCAGTTCCTCGCTATTACAAAGAGGGCTGCTGTAAATATTTTTTTTAGCTATGGGTGCTTTCCCTCTTTCCTAGATCTCTTTGGGGGTATAGCCTAGAGGTGGTAAAGGAAGGCTATTTTGGCAGCTTTGTGGAGGATAGATTGGAGAAAGGGAGGCTTGAGGCAGAGAGACCAGGTTTTTACAACAGTCCAGGCAAGAGGTGATGAGGGTCTGAGCTAGTGTGGTGATAGGGAAGGAAGAAAAGGAAACTGAGAAAGACCATATTGGTAAAGGTAGAATCAACAGGACTATCAGATCAGACCCGAAGGGTAGAAGGAAGGACATCGTAGTGTATGGAACCAAGTCGACCTGGGTTTAGACTCCACCTCAGACATTTGCTCATTATGTGACCTGTGGGCAAGTGATTCCATCTCTCTGGGCCTCAGTTTCCTCATCTGTGGGAAAACTTAATGGCTTCCAAGGACCCTTCTGGCTCCAGATTTATGATCTTATCATTCCATTGGCATCTGGAACACCACAAAAACCCTTCGGTGAAATCTATAGGCACTTGTAAGAGACTGACCTAACCCTCCATGCTGGCAAAATGAAGTGGATCAAACGTTCCTGCTGCTCAGATGAAAAGGTGCATTGTTATCATTTTTGGTTGGAAGGGACATCTCTCTGGGAGGGGCGGAGGAGGGATCTGTTGGGAAAAGAAGGCATGCAAACATCAACCATGTTGGACATGGCCCCCCTCCTGCAATGATCCCTAGACGTTGTAAAAGTTCATCCTTTGAATACCAATATTCTGGTAGCTTTGAATAATGGAATGCTATGATCTCAGGAAAACAAAATCTTAGGTGATCCACAGGGTAGGAGACATTCATGGTGGGCATGAACACATTTTGACGTGTTCCCAATGAATACTGGCAGCTGAGAGACAGTATAAAAGATTTCAAAGATCTGTGAGTGGGAAAGGAGGTGGCCTGGCTGTATAGTGAGTTTGAGGGATGATGGGTAGATTGCCTGATGGATGCGTTGGTATAAATGAATGAATGAATGGATAGATGAATAAATGTATGATGAATGAAGGGATGTATGAATAAATGGATGGATGGATGGATGGATAGATAAATGAACATCTGAATGAATGTAGGAATAGATGCAATAGCGTTCATTAATTGCTTACTAATGTGCTAAGCATCAGGGATAATGAAGTATTAAAACTACCATAGGAACGCAGTCAGCACATTTTGCTACAGATAATTTCTAGAAAAACAGACAAGAATGGTCCAAAGGGAAGATTCATTCTTGCATTTGCTGGACGAGCATCTATTGAGCAACTACTGTGCTTAGACAGAGACAGCTAGATGGCGCATGGTGCATAGAACTCTGGGCCTGGAGTCAGGAAGACTCGTTTTTGTGAGTTAAAATCGGGCTTCAGACACTAGCTGCGTGACCCTGGGCAAGTCACTTCACCTTGTTTGCCTCAGTTTCCTCATTTGTAAAATGAGCTGGAGTATCTTTGCCAAGAAAACCCCAAGTGGGGTCACGGAGAGTGGGATGCAACTGAAAAACGACTCAACAATAACATGTTCAGACAACAGGGCGGAGAGGAAAGAGGGCTGGTCTTCCAGTGAAGAAGACCTGGGTGCAAATCCCTCCTTAGACACACACTGGCTTGGTGACTCCCGGCAAATCACTTAACCTCTCAGTATTCCCAGGTGACCCTCTTAAGGTGATTCTTGTAGAACGGTTGCTGGCTGCAATGGATCATTGGCTACAGCTGGAATGGACCTTTGAGGTCACTAATCCAACCACCTCATTTTACAGTTGAGGAAACAGAGGCCCAGGGAGATCGAGTGATATGCTCACAGTTGGCAGAAGGAGTGAAGAAATCTAGTCTGGACCAAAAAAGTGCCAGCCATAATGTACTGCAAAAATTCAATTCACTTCAATTCAATCAAAACGTATTAAGTATTTGCCATGTGCATGGCACTGCATTAATTCTGTGCATATAAAGATAAACGAGACACAATGCCTGCTCTTAAGGAACTTTGACAAAACATCCCCATGTCAATCAATGCCTGTATATGACAATAATAATAATAAATAATAATAGCTAGCATGTATATAGCACCTACAAAGTGCGAGGTACCGTGCTAAGTGCTTTACAAGTACTTCCTCATCTGATCCTCACAATGACTTTGGAAAGTGAGTGCTATTATTATCATCCCCTTTTTTACCTCAGTGGGCAAATTGAGGCAAATAGAGGTTAAGTGACTTGCCCAGGGTCACACAGCTAGTGAGTGTTTTGTGTCTGAGGCCGGATTTGAACTCAGGTCCTCCTGACTCCAGGGCTGGTGCTCTATCCACTGTGCCACCCAGCCGCCCCTGAACTCAGATTTCTAACACCCCTCCCTGACCACCCCTTTCCTGTGTGTCTTGTCTCTTCTTTTAGAGTGTAAGCTCCTTGAGGGTAGGGAACACTTACTTCTGCCCTTGCATACTCAGCACTTAGCAAAGTGCCTGACACACAGTACTCCCTTAACAAATAGTTGTTTATTAATTAATCTAACGGGAAGGATAAGAGGGTGTATACCAAGCCGTGCTCTTCCTCCTGGTTTCAGTGCTCTCCCTGCCCCGCCTTGGGTGGATGCTTTAGTCCAGTCAACCTCAGGTACTCCTTTGGTGGTTTCTCCTACTCACCATCTATTTCTTCAGGTCATAGCGCTCTGCACATCGCCATTGAGAAGAGAAGCCTCCAGTGCGTGAAGGTGCTGGTGGAGAACGGAGCCGACCTCCATGCCAGGGCCAGTGGGAGATTTTTTGGGAAAGAGAGTCAAGGAATTTGCTTTTATTTCGGTGAGTGGGCAGGTCTCTCCTGGGCTCTGGCCCTGGCATGTCATTGGCCTATTTGCCTTGGGCAGAGCTGAGGGTGGGTAGGGCGGTGTTCTGTGAATAGGGGCACTCTTTCAGCGGCCACTCAGAAGCCTTTAATTCATTCATTCGACCAACAGTCATTGAGCATCTCTGCTCTTTGCTGGTTCGCTACGTACCTGGGCTGGCAGAGGAGTTAGAAGAGAGCATCAAGAATAGGCCGGACATAATTCTTAGAATTTGCCTCCAAAAGTCGTGGCTACAGCTCTAACAGACTACACAAGGCCATGTGTGACCCCAGAGGACAGAGCTCAGTGCAGTCCAGTTACAGCTGTCCACCTAGTTTTGAAAATAATTTTACTGATATCTTTGGTTTCTCCATCTGCCATTTCCCAATATATCACTCCTCCACCTACTCAGAGAGCCATCCCTCATTAAAAAAAAATAGAAAAGACAGGGGAAAAGCGATGGGACAACCCATTCAACAACCCATCAACTGAATCTGAGAAACACATGCAGTCCTTCACACCTGGAGCCTCTCACCTCTGCAAAGAAGGGAAGGAAGTGCCTTCTCATACTTCTCCCATAGTTATCTTAAAAAACATTTTTATTTATGCCTCTTGGTTTTATTTTATATTTAAATGTTTTATTTAAACAATTTAACTTTATTTAAAGTGTACTTAATTTTTGTTTATTGATCCCTTTTGTTTTGATATCACCTCTATTTCTGAATTATCCTGGTCCACTCCTTTCCCCAGAAAGCTGTCTCATAATAAAGAATAAAAAAGGAGAGAGAAATCAGTTCAACAGAGCTAATCAACACATCAGCTGAGTCTGAGTATATGCAGAATTCTACACCCATAGTCCCCCACCTCCACAAAAGGAGGTGCACTGTGTATATCCTCCTCTGGTTCTGTTTTCTTCACTCTGCATCAGTTCATATAAGTTTTCTTATGCTTCTCTGAATTCATTTCCATTATCTTCATGTACCACAATCTGTTTGGCTATTTCCTGTCAACGTTGCCATCTGTAGCCTGGTCACCAAAAGGCAGAGAGGTCTTGGGGGATCGGAAGGCTGGCAAGGTGAGATTCTGTGTTCCTAAGGGAAACAGGAGCTTAAAAGTAGGGTCCCAGCTGCCCTCCTTCTAACCCCAGGGGAGCTGCCGCTGTCGTTGGCCGCCTGCACTAGGCAATGGGATATTGTATCGTACCTCCTGGAGAATCCTGACCCTGACCGCAGGGCCTGCCTCGAGGCTGTGGACACCTATGGCAACACTGTCCTACACGCCCTGGTGATGATTGCCGACGACTCAGTGGAGAACAGCACCCAGGTGAACAGCATGTATGACTACATCCTCCAAGTTGGTGCCCGCCAATGCCCCTCCGTGAAGTTGGAGAATGTTGCTAATCTCCAGGGGCTGACGCCACTCAAGCTGGCAGCAAAGGAGGGGAAGATTGAGGTGAGTGGGGCCTCCCCCATCCTGTTCCCTTCAGAATCTCAGAAGCAGAAGGGAGCTTATAGGCCATCAGGTTCAATCTGTACCTGGATATCGATCCCCTTTGCCAGAGCTATAACTAAGGTGAGACAGTATGCATGCTGTCCTAGGGCACTGAAATTTATATGGCATTTGAAGTTCATAAGATCATAGGGTAATACCATCTTGGAGGTAGAGGTGGAAGGGACTTTAGAAGCCCAAGGTCACACCAATAGTAAGTGGCAGAGGTGACATTTGAACCTAGGCCCTCCAATTCTGGAACCAGTGCTCTTTTCACTGACTTATATTACCTTTCACTGATTATATTGTATTTATATTATTGAAATAATTGGACTTTGATTCTATTTCAATTCTGTTGTATTTTATTACTTATAACTGGTGAAAACAGGCAGCTAACAGAGGTCATTCTTCCTTCTTCAAGGGCCATGCTCTAGGGCAGGGGTGGGAACCTGTGGCCTATAGGCCGGTTAAGGCCCTTGGTCACTTGTAGCACTTGTCAGCCATGGAAAAATGTAGAGGAAAACATCCTTTGTACGTAAAGGAAATCCGTTGGCCAGCTACAAGTGGCCTGAGGGCTCCAAGTGGCTGCCAGTTGGGCAGCCCTGCTCTAGAGCCTCAAGTGCAGCCCTTTGACTAGGCCAAGCCATAGGTTCCCCAACCCTGCTAGGGAATCTGCTTCCCCCACCTCTTCGCCAAAAGAGGTCTCTTGGTGTCCCAGAATCCCAACTGGCTTTGTCTTACAAAATTAATTTAATTGCATGTTTTGTGGGGCTGGGCTACAGGGGCAAAACTTGCTCATTACAGTTTTGCCCTCTGCAACATCCCCACAAAGCATTCTCGGCCTCTGCCTTGAGTGAGAGGGAACCCACTCCCTCCCCAGGCAGCCCATTCCACTTGGGGACAGCTCCAGTTGTTTGAAAGGTTCCCTTACTAGTAGACTGGAATTGGCCTCTCCTCACCCTTCATCCAACTCCTCTGTGGAAAAAAGCATTGAAGTCAGAGGAACTGGGTTCAAATCCTGACTCTGCCACCTATTACCTTCATGACCCTGGACAAATCTTTTAACTTCTTTTGGCCCTCAGTTTCCTCACATAGAAAATGAGGATATTGGACCCCTTGATCTCTGAGATTGCTATTATCTGGAGCCAAGAAGACTATGTCAAATTCTTCTTTCATGTGATAGCCATTCAGAACCTGTCTTCAAGGGTTCATGAACACCTCTTTCTGAGGGAAAGGAATTAGCATTCAGGAGAGCCTGGGCCTTGTCCCAGCTCTGGCCACTTCCTCTCTGGAAAGACAGGGGGCTAGAGAAGCAGATCTTGAAGCTCCAAACTTCACATTTTTCAGAGGAAACAGACCCAGAGGGCAAGTGAGTTGTCCAAGGCACTTAATATCTATATCTATATCTATATCTATATCTATATCTATATCTATATCTATATCTATATCTGTATCTATATCTATCTATATCTATATTTTTTAGGCAATTGGGGTTAAGTGACTTGCCTAGGGTCACACAGCTAGTGAGTGTCAAGTGTTTGGTCTGAGGCCAGATTTGAACTCAGGTCCTCTTGACTTCAGGGCCAGTGCTGTATCCACTAAGCCACCTGGCTGCCCCAAGACCTAATATTTCTATAGTACCTACTATGTATCAGGCATTGTACTACTCACTGCTTTATAAATATTACCTCATCTGATCTTCACAATAACCTTGGGAGGTAGGGGCTGTTATTACAGTTGAGGAAACTGAGGCAGACAGTGGTTAAATGACTTGTCCAGGGTTATACAGTTAGTAAGTGTCTAAGGCTGGATTTGAGCGTGGATCTTCCTTACTCCAGGCCCGGCACTCTATCCATGGGGCCACCTACCTACCTACCTACTTTGTTGCTGTAATTACATAAATTACTTTGTCTGAGCCTCAGTTTTCTCCTCTGTAAAAAGGAATTGGATCAGATGGCCTTTAAACTCCCTTTCAGCTCTGCATCTATGATTGCAGGGTCTTACGGTCACACAGTAGTGGTCCTTGTCAAGTCCATCCTTTGGAATGCTCTTTGCAGACAGACCCCTGGACAGCCCCTGCTCATGGCCCCAAAGTCCAGGCCAAATTCTGGAAACTGATTGCTTGGGGGGAAAAAACCAGAAAAGAGAAGCCGCAGTGCCCCAGGACTCACCCAATGTCCTCGTTTCCAGGTCTTCAAGCACATCCTGCAGCGGGAGATCTCTGGGCAGTACCGGCACCTCTCCCGTAAGTTCACCGAGTGGACGTACGGGCCTGTCCAGGTGTCGCTCTATGACCTGTCCTCCGTGGACAGCTGTGAGGACAACTCAGTGCTGGAGATCATTGCCTTTGGCTGCAAGGCCCCGGTGAGTGAGAGGACCAGCTACCACCATAGCTGTGCCGGACACGTTCCAGGGATCGCTGCTGGGTGCCCAAGGAATCCTGGTGTAAACTAGCCAGCCTCCCAGGGGCCACCCAGGACTGGGCACTGCAGGAGACTTGTAGATGGAGAGCAGCAGAGGTCACTGAGTCTAGCCTGCTCATTTTACAGATGAGGAAACTGAGGCCAACAGAGGTTAAGTGATCCTACCTCCACCTTTCCTTCCTTCAGCCTTCTTTCTGCCAGACTGCTCTGACAATTGGCCTTCTTTCTGCCACGCTGCTCTGACTCCCCTGCCCTTCCAGGACCCAGTGGGTGTCACCTTCTCACTAAGTCCCCTGTAGGAAGTCGCGCTGCCATTTACCAGTTTTGTGACTTCAGGCTGATCCCTTCCCCCGAAGGCTCAGCCTCCTCATGTGTATGGGGTGGCCCAAAAGTCTGAGTGAGGCCTATTCAATCTAAAAGCTACACTCAGACTTTTAGGGCACCTTGTAAAAAAGAGAGTCACCTGCCTTGCAAGGAATGTGAACTTTCCAGCATCGGACAGTCAGTCAGTCAATAAACATTTAAGTATCTACCCTGTGCCAGACACTGTGCGAAGCATCATCTCCCTGTCCTCAAGGAGTTTACATTCTAATAGGAGATACTGTGTACAAAAATACAAGATAGACAATAATGTAATGGAAAAGAATCCCAAAGACTCTTCTGAAATGGTCATCATCATTATTACTCTTATTTCCCCCAGAAAATGCTATGATCAAGTGAGATACTGATGGCAAACGGGCTTGTAATGGCAAGGAAGGGCTACGTACATGAGTTATTGTCCTAGAAAGACCAGTGATGCTGACGTCTGAGGCCCTGGGTTCAAATCTGGCCTCTGCTTCATCCTTACTGTGTGAGCTTGGAGAAGTCTCTTAATCTCTCTGCTCCTCATAAAATGAAAGAGTTGGCCTAGATCGGTAGATCTCAAAGGACCCTCCCCTCGGGGTCCCTGAGACCCCTTCAGGAAGTCCTCAAGGTCAAAATGACTTTCACAATAATGCTAAGACATTTTAATTTCTAATATAGTAAAAGTCACTAGATATAATCCACACGCACAAAAGCTCTTGGGGGAGTGTCCCCAGTTTTTAGATGGATAAAGGGGTTCTAGGACCCAAAAGCCTGAGGATCACGGGCCTGGATGATTCCTTCCAGTTCTCAGTCCTATTGCCTCCTTCTGTTACTGCAGATGTGACGCTTGCTCCAGTGCAAACCTGGAAAGATGCCCCATCTCCCTCAGTGGTTCTCCCCCTGATCCCCAGTCGGACATTTCAGATGGGAATTCTGTGGTGCGGATTTCCCATGTTTGCGTGGACATACAGAGCTCTTGCCTTGAGGACTATCAATCAGTCAGTCAATAAGCATTTATTAAGCTCCTACTATATGCCTGGTGCCGGGGATATGAGCATAGAGAATGGGCTGCTCCCTACCTTCAACGAGCTTACAAGGGGAGCTGGCAATGCGCCAGCATTGGCCGCCTCTCCATTGGCTCCCAGCAGTGCTTCCCGCCATCTAGGGTGCTCCCAGGGCCAGAAGGCACAGGGCCTAGCGAACTTTGGGGTCTCCCTGGACCTCGGGTTGCTTGTCACCCCCTTGCAAATGCCTCACTTTTGTATTTTCCCTCGGGTCCCTCTCCCAGAATCGACACAAGATGGTGACGTTGGAGCCGCTGAACAAGCTACTGCAGGAGAAATGGGGGTCGCTGGTCACCCGATTTCGCTTCAATTTGATTTCCTATTTCCTGTATATGTTGATCTTCACGGCTGTCACCTACCACCAGCCTGTCCTGGGGAAGGTGAGGGCACAGCCTGTCAGAAGAGCTTGGGGAGGGGGAGGAAAGGGAGGGCCGTTCTGGGAGAAGAGGTAGGCTCAGCCTAGGGGACAGGGAGGTTGGGTGACCACCTGTGAGTTTTATCGTCTGGGCAATATCCCAGTATATTGCATGGGAGGTTAGATGCCTATTTGTGTGATATGTTACTCTGGTACAGGTTGGACTAGCTGACCTTGTCCCATCTCAGATACAGGGCTGGGGCAGTGCGTCTAAAGGAGAAGGGGGAAGGCTGCTTTTTTTTTTTTGAGGGGGTCACAGTACTGAGAGAAAGAAAGAAGATAGGAAAAGCCTTTGGAAGATGGAGGGTAGTGACATAAGGGGCCAGTTGGTTAATGGTAAGACAGGGAGGAGGTCATGAGATCCTCCTCTGGGCCAAGATTGGAAATAAGAGGGAGCCAGCCCTTGATGAGAGAGGCCAGGGGCCTGAGGACAGCTCTGGATTTCTCTTCTCTAGAACTTCATTCCTCTGAAAGCAACAGTGGGTAACTCAATGCTGCTGATGGGACACATCTTCATTCTTTTTGGGGGAGTCTATCTCTTCTTTGGCCAGGTAAATGCCTCTTCCTTCTTCCATGTAGCCACTGGTTGGTGGGAGAAATGAGCACGGGCCCAGGCTTGGGGTCACCTGGCCATGATCTTTAGCACCCACATCCTAATGGGACAAGTGCCACTTCCTATAGAAAATCTATCCTGATCACCCCCCATCCCCCACCCCCAGCTAGTGTCTTCCCCCAGACATTAATTGGCCTGTATTTTATATTGAATTCTTTATGTTCACATTATTTTCCCTCAATAGAAAGTAAACTCATTGAGGACAAAGTTCTTTTCGTTTCTTTTTTTTTTGTCTTTATAATCTAAGCATAGTACCTGGCCCATAGTACATACTTAATAAATGAAAGATGGAGGAGATATAACAGCAGGCGGAGAAAGGACATACATAGGGAAAGGATATGTTGGCTGGATCGTGGTTGGGGGGAGGAGAAGGAGGAAGGTGGAAAAGGATATATTTGCCTGGTCTCAGAGATGAATGATTAAGGGCTGGAAAATCTATCAGCCCATAGGCTGACCCTGAAACCTTCCCAGAAGCTTTGGGCCAGTGTGTCTGGAACCGAAGGAAGCCCAGGCCTAGCGCTCAGGCAATAGTGTGGTCAATAAGTGGGATCTGGGAGGCAATAGACCTGGGTCCTAGTCACAGCTCTTCCACTAAGGGACTGTGTGACTTTGGCCAAGTCACGTCTCCTCGTCTGGGCCTTGTTTCCTCACCTCTATAAAAAGAGAGGGTTGGCCTAGATGATCCCTAAAATCTTCCATCTCTCGCATTCTGTGGGTCTAGGGTGTTATATGGATGCCGCCTGATTCTGTGGGGTCTCTGTAGGATTGGAAGGTTCTTTTCTTTCCCCTTGGGCCCTAATTTCTGAACCTGTGCCCAAGGAGGGTGGTTATGGCAGGGATCTCCTTTCCCTGACCTCCACAGCTCCAGTGGAGCGCAGCGGCCGACCGCTTTGTACTAGGAAGCATCCCCAGCCAGAGGGTCAGAGGCTGCTTTGGTCGCCAGGCTCATCTGGGGTCCGAAGTTCTCTCTCACGTTCTGTTGTTCTTGTGTCTTGGGCAGCTTCAATACTTCTGGAGGAGACGCCTGTTCATCTGGACCTCGTTTGTCGATAGCTACTTTGAGATCCTCATGTATGTTCCAGGACATTTGGGGACGTTTGCCCACTCCCCAGCCTCAGACTCCAGGCTCTGTGAGCCTCCCTCTCTTAGCACCCAGAATGTCAGAACTGGGAGACCTTTGTGACCGCATTGTCCAGCTTCCTCCTTGTTACAGGGAGGCGAGTGAGGCCCAGAGAGAGGAGGGGACACTTCCCTGCTGTCTCACCATCTATTTTGGCGACTGTCCCAAAGGCCTGGAAGAGCCGCCACCCTCAAGTTGGCTAAATCTCTGCCCACAATACAGCTCCTTGGGAAATGCAACCTGGATCTTCTCTTGTCCCCTTATAATAGAGAAATCCGTGGCTAGTCCTGAGTTGTTCAACCTAATTAGAGCCAGGAGGGCCCCCAAATCCAACTACTGCATTTTACAGGCGAGGAAACTGAGATAAAAAGCGTTAATGACTTGCCGATGCCCCCACAGGTAGTAATTTGATCCTCACAAGAAATTTATGAGATATAGATAGTGACAGAATGGGCAGAGTGCTGGGCCTGGAGTCACAATGATCTGAGTTCAAATCCAGCCTCAGAGATTTATGAGCTGTATGATTCTGGGCAAGTCAATTAACCTCTACCTCAGCTTCCTTGTCTGTAAAATGGGGATAATAATAGCACCTACCTTCCAGGGTTCTTGTGAGGATCAAATGAGCTAAGATTTGTAAAGTGTTTTGCAAACCTACATGGTACAGGGGATAGAGAGCCAGGCCTGGAACCAGGAAGATTCAGTTTTCTGAGTTCAAATCCAGCCTCAGACACAAACTCTCTGTGCGACACTGGGCAAGTCACTTCATCCTGTTTGACTCAGTTTCCTCACCTGTAAAATGAGCTGGAGAAGGAAATGGTAAACCACTCCAGCATCTTTGCCAAGAAAACCCCAGTTGGGGTCACAAAGAGTCGGGCATGACTAAAACAACTGAACAAAATTATTGTTATTATTCAGACACACATATCTCTATTTGAAAGATTATTATAATGATAAATGGTGAAGAAGTTGGTATAATTAATAGAAAGTCAACCAGAGTCAGAAAGACAAGGGTTAAAGTCTTACCTCTGATACCTATTGGCTCTGTGTTTCTGGGCAAATTGCTTAAGTCTTTCTGTGCCTTAGATGATTCTCTCTCTCTCTCTTTTTTTTTTTTTTAATATGAGGGTAATTGGGGTTAAGTGACTTGCCCAGAGTCACAGTGAGTATTATGTGTCTGAGGCTGGATTTGAACTCAGGTCCTCCTGACTCCAGGGCCGGTGTTCTATCCACTGTGCCACCTAGCTGCCCCAGACGATTCTTTTTTAAAGAATTTAATTATATTTTATTTTTTTGATCAATGACTATCTTTCTTCTCTCCCTCCCACTGCCCCTCTCCATCCCAGAAAGAAAGAAAACCAAAACTCCTGTTACAAACACGTATACTCAAGCAAAACAAATTCCCACATTAGTCACGTCCCCTCATTCTGTCCTTGGTGTCCTTCCTCTCTCTGCCAGGAGGCTTCACCATCTGCACTCATGGTTGGTCATTTCATTGGTCACTCCTTAAGTCCTCCGAAGCCTTTACAACCTTGTCATTACTGTATACATTGTTCTGGTTCTGCTCCCTTCCTTCTGCATCAGTTCATACAAGTCTTCCCAGGTTTCTCGGAAACCATCCCTTTCATTTCTTAGAGCACAATAACATTCCATTGCATGAATAGATCATAACTTCTAGGCCATTCCCCAACTGACGGACACTCACTCCCGTCATCCCTTTAAGGCTACAAGTTACAGAACAGGGGTCAACTTGCATTGGTAGAGTGTCTCCTCATCTGGGAATATTCTACACTGATAAACATCACAGGTCTTGTCTAAATAACAGATGGCATCTATATGATATTTTATGATTATATAGTATTTGAACCATAGTGGATTTGGAAACTCTCTCTGGGCCTCATTAAAATGGGAGAAGGAGGTGGATTACAAGACATCTAAGGTCCCTTCCAGCTCTAGTCACCTACATTATCTCATTCAATTTTGAGAAAACCCATGAGGCAGTCAGAGCAAGGATTATTTTCCTCATTTGACAGATGTGTAAACTGAGTCTCAGAGAAATTAAGAGAAAGAGCTGAAATTTAGGGAAAGAAATTAAGAGTCAAAGAAATTAAGTGATAGTTTCTTAGGACTTAGAAGAACATGGCATTGGAGTCTGTTGGCCTCTGTTTTCAAATGAAGGGCCAGATGGCCAGGCCAGCTCCTGGACAGCTTAATCCCTGTTCCTGTTTCCACAGAATTCTGGGTTAATTCCGAACCTTACTCTCATTAGCCCTTGGCTTTCCTCCCTTACACTTATCTATCACCCTCCCTTTTCTGGAATGGGAGAAGGCTTATCTGGGGACTGGGCTTGAATTTATATTAACCAAGGTTGAAAGGAAGCCAGAAATTCTCAAATAATCCCTTCTTTCTAAACAGCAACATGTCAGGGAATTAGAGCTGGAAGGGCCTTTAAGAGTCACCCAAGCCCACCCCCTCCTTTTCCAAACGAGGAAACTCAAGGCCAGAGGCACTAAGTGGCAGAATCAGGATTTGAACTCAGAGCCTGGGACTCCAAATTGAGGACCCTTCCCATGACCCTAGACTACTTCTGTAAGGGACTTTTTGACTTTGGGCTGAATCTCTCCCGAGTGAGTGTAAGCAGGCCTGAGAATGCATTCCTGGGACGAGGGTGCTGGGGAGTCCCGTAGGCTGTCAGCGGGCTTCATGCTGATGTCTTCTCCCCCAGCCTAATCCAGGCACTCACTTCAGTGGTGGCCCAGGTGCTGTGCTTCCTAGAACTCAACTTGTACCTGCCCATCCTGGTTTTCTCTTTGGTCCTGGGCTGGATAAACCTTCTCTACTACACTCGTGGATTCCAGCTGACAGGCATCTACAGCGTCATGATACAGAAGGTGGGTGCAGCCGTCCCGACTCTCCCTCCCCCCAACTCTAAGGGGTCCTCTGAACTGGGCAGATGAAAAACAGGAGAAACTCAGTCTTGCTCCTCCTTAGGCCAAGTAAAATTGGGCGGCGAGACCCAATGACACTCCAGTATTTGAAGGCTCCTATCAGTAGGCAGGCAGTCAATCAACAATCAGTCTTAAGCCATTAATTGTTTATGATTAACCTACTACACGAGGTAAGTACTGGGGATACAAAGACTGTGAAGTAGTCCCCGCCCTCCTGGTGCTTCCATTCTAGGGGGAAGACAACATAATAAATGTCTGTTGAATTGAATCAAATTGAATATTTAGCCTAGAGCCGTCGGGAGAGGTTCATCCCCTGCAGGTTGCTCGCCAGAGGATGAATTTTTTTGTCACCCCAAGAGAGGCAATGTGGTCTAGGGTTTAGGTCACTAGACTTGGAATCAGGAGGAGCTGAGTTCAAATTCTGACGCCTTCTAGCTTGGGGACTCGGAGCCTCTGACTCCAAGGGCGGGGGTGTCTGTTCCAGGTCATCCTCCGAGATCTGCTGCGTTTCCTCTTGGTGTACTTCGTCTTCCTGTTCGGCTTTGCCATAGGTAAGGGCCTCCCCAGATGCCCCCTCCCCCGAAGCCCACCCTCTGCCTTGCTTGCTGTCTTTCCACAAATCTCTCCCCGCTCCAGTTTGTCTTCCAGTTAGCGTCAGATTAATCTTCCTAAAGCACGTGTCTGACCCCCCTAATCAACAAACTCTGGGGTGCCCTTTACCTCCAGGATCAAATAGAAAGTCCTTTATGACCTAGACATCCCCCCGCCCCAGCTCCAGTCTTTTTACACCTTACGCCCCTTGCCTCATACTCTTCGGTCCCTCGACATTGGGTCCCTTGCTCTTTCTCCAACAACACGCTCCATCCTCCGGCTCCCCATATTCCCTCTGGCTGTCCCCCACGCTTGGAACTTTCTCCCTCCTCATTTCTGCCTCCTGGCTTCCCTGGCTTCCTTCAAAGCCCAACCCTTTTAGAAGAAGCCTTTCCCAATTCTCCTGACTGCTAGCGGATTATCTCTTACCTGGCATATACCTTGTTTTTGTTCACATGCTGTCTCCTCCCTTAGATTGTAAGCCCCTTGAAGGCAGGGACCGTCTTTTGCCTCTTTTTGTATCCCCAGCACTTAGCCGGCGCCTGGTGCACAGTGGGTGCTCAACCCTGTTCCCTTACTGCTTGACTTGCAGCGCTGGTGAGCCTGAGCAGGGACGTGCCCCCGCCCACCTTCTCCAACCAGTCGCTGGCGGAGGCGGACAAGGTCCCCTACGGAGGCTTCGTGGAGGCCTCCCTGGAGCTCTTCAAGTTCACCATCGGCATGGGCGAGCTGGAGTTCCACAAGCAGCTGCAGTTCGAGGGCTTCATCATGTTCCTGCTGCTGGCCTACGTGCTGCTCACCTACATCCTCCTGCTGAACATGCTCATAGCCCTCATGAGTGAGACGGTCAACAGCGTGGCCACGGACAGCTGGAGCATCTGGAAGCTGCAGGTCAGCGGCCACCAGCCGCCCGGCCTCTGACGGGCGGCGCCCCTCTTTTTATGGCGGGGGAAACTGAGGCAGAGCCAGGACTGAACCCAGATTCCCCGAGGCTGGCCTGCTTTCTGTGGCAGCCCCCCGGAGGAGAGGCATAGGGGAAGGGTCTGACTCTCCTCATCTCTGGAGATTATCAAGGCAATATGATGTAGCAAAAAGAGAGCTGGATTTGGATCAGAAGACGTGGTTTGATTCCTGGTTCTGCCATTAACTACTTGTGTGACCCTCTCTTAACCTCTTCAGGCCTCAGTTTCCTCCTTTGTAAAATGAGGGTCAGACTGAATGGTCTCTAAGTCCAGGGTCCTGTGTTACTTCACAGAGGTGCTGGGAGTATAGGTGAATGGAAGAAGAAGAGGAAGGAACTGTAGAAGTGGGATCAAGTCACCTAATCTCTCTGTGCCTCAGTTTCCTCATCTGTAAAAAGAGGAGGTTGGACTCAGTGACCTCTAAGATCCCTTCCAGCTCTAAATCTAGAATCCTAGAGCTGTCACTACTTGGGGATTTGAGGTTCTTGGGGGTCAGTGGAGGGGGGAATGGGAGAGAAAGCAGGAGGAATTGTTGGGGTGTGAATCAGGTAAGCCCCTTTTTTGGGTTAATTCAACAAAGATTTATTGAACACTCACTATATGCCAGGCACTGGGTTCGGTGTTTGGGTTACAAAGATAAGAAAAGCATTTGTTTTTGCCCTCAAGGATCTGTGGAATAGTAGCATAACCTTAGGCAGATTGCTTCTCCTTTCCAGTTCTGTTTGTCCATATGGGAAATGAGGATACTTTGGTACAGAGGAACCCATAGGGCAAAAATGAGGGCGTGGGGTAGAACCTAGACTTCTATGGGTCTGGAGAAATTAACAGTATATAGTTAGCAGTCTGTGGGGAGAGTGGTTCTCTTTATTTATTTATTTTTAGGCAGTTGGGGTTAAGTGACTTGCCCAGGGTCACACAGCTAGTACGTGTCCAGTGTCTGGTCTGAGACTGGATTTGAACTCAGGTCCTCCTGACTTCAGGGCCTGTGCTGTATCCACTGCGCCACCTAGCTGCCCTGGGAGAGTGGTTCTCTGCCACGGGAAGGCTGTGGATAGAAATGGGCATGGACGGTAGAATCCTAGCTAGACATAAGATAAAAAGAGATGAGCAGGGTTGGGGTCACAGATACAGCTGAACCAGGAGAGGAGATGGTCTGGCACTCTCTCTAAAGATTTGGGAGGAGGGTCGCAGCAGGTAAGCCTGGGAGGAGGGTCCCATAGGGACAAGTCCCTGGCAGTGGTGGCTAGCTCAGGCCAGCAGAAATCCACAAGATAGAGTATGAGGAGGATAGCTGTCACCAAATCTAGTAAACCCACACAGAATAAACCCACCTGATCTTTAAGTAGGTGCCCTGAGGCAGAGTCCCATCTGTCCCAAGACAATGAGCTTTCCTCTCCTCTCATTTCCAGAGGGGCTCTGCCTTCCACCCCGAGGTAGGAGGGCCTGCTTATCCCTGCTCTTCCTCTTCTGTTCTCAGAGAGCCATCTCAGTCCTAGAGATGGAGAGGGGGTACTGGTGGTGCAAGAGAAAGAAGGAACGATCAGGCATTCTCCTCACAGTGGGCACTACTCCGGACCAGAAGCCAGATGAGAGATGGTGCTTCAGGTAAGCTGGGGGAGGGGTTATGAAAGTGGAAGGCGGCTTCCACATTCCCCCGTAATACTGAGGTGCAGCCTCCTCCACATATGTGTTTAGTGAGCACATTGGACCTGTTGACCTCAGTCTGCCTCTGTGATGCCAGGGTCCTGCCCTCAGCTGACTCCAGTCCCATTCTCCATATGGACAGCTATTTCGGAGGCTCCTATACCACCCTAGCTAGCCGGATCCATTGACAACTCCCTCCCAACGTCCTTTCACTCCTTATAATCTAGACAAAGATGCTGATGTTCAAATCCAATGGGCAAGGCTCCTTTCCAGCCCTGGATCTATCATTTCAAAGACATGGCGGTCTCAGTAGACTGGGAACCCAAAATGGATCAACAGTATCACACAGTGAGCTCCCTAACACTCACGTGAGCCTGGTTTGTATCAACAGAAGCGTTCAGGGACCTCTGTATAGATAGCCTGGTAGAAGAGCCACAGAGGTCAAGGTTCAGTGGGTCTGGAGTAGTGCTGCCACATGCCTGGACCTTAGGCTGCTTCAGGTCTTCCTCTGATTGGCAGCAGGGCAGGAAAGATAGAAGGAGCATTAGCCTCTGGAACCACAGGACCTGGCTTCAAAAGGTGCCTCCGACCTGTACTGGGTGGGCCTCAGTTTCCTCATCTGTAAAATGAATGATTTGGACTAGATGACCTCTGAGTTCCTGTCCAGCTCTACACCTACAATCCCTTCCAGGGAACCAAGCCTTTCTTTTTTTAAAATTAATTTATTTTGATTTATCAACAATCACTTCCATATGCTTTTGAGCTTAAAATTTTTCTCCCCCTTCCTCCCCACCACCCTCCCCAAGACAGCACACAATCTGATATAGGCTCTACATATACATACCCATTAAACATATTTTCACATTAGTGACGTTGCAAGTAAGAGTTAGAACCAACAGAAGGAACCACCAGAGAGAGGAAACAAAACTCAACAGAAGAAAAAAAAAGAGTAAATAGTCTGCTTCGATCTACATTCAAACTCCAGAGTTCTTTCTTTGGATGTGGACAGCATTTTCCATCACGAGGCCTTCGGAGATGCCTTAGATCCTTGTATTGCTGGGGAGGGTTAAGTTTATCAACATTAGTCATCACGCAATGTGACTGTTATTGTGTACAACGTTCTCTTGGTTCTGCTCACTTCACTCAGTATCAGACCATGCAAGTCTTTACAGGTTTTTCTGAAGTCAGCCTGTTCATCATTTCTTATAGCACAATAGTATTCCATTAGATTCATGTACCATAACTTGTTCAGCCATTCCCCAATGGATGGGCATCCTCTCAATTTCCAATTCTTTGCCACCACAAAAAGAGCTGCTATAAATATTTTTGTACACGTGGATCATTTTTCCATTTCTATGATCTCTTTGGGATACAGCCCTAGAAGTGCTATTGCTGGGTCAAAGGGTAAACACATTTTTATAGCCCTTTAGGCATCGTTTCAAATTGCTCTCCAAAATGGTCGGATCATTTCACAACTCCACTAACAATGAATTAATGTTCCAATTTTCCCGCATCTTCTCCAACATTTATCATTTTCCTGTTTTGTCATGTTGGCCGATCTGATAGGTGTGATGTGGTACCTCAGAGTTGTTTTGATTTGCATTTCTCTAATCAATAGTGATTTAGAGCATTTTTTTCATATGACCATAGATGGCTTTAATTTCTTCATCTGAGAACTGCCTGTTCATATCCTTTGACCATTTATCAATTGGTGAATGACTTGTAATTTGACTTAATTCTCTATATACTTTAGAAATGAGGCCCTTATCAGAGAGACTGGTTGTAAAAATTCTTTCCCAATTTTCTACCTTCCTTTTAATCTTAGTTGCATTGGCTTTGTTTGTGCAAAAACTTTTCAATTTAATGTAATCCAATTTCAATTTAAATTATCCATTTTGCTTTTCATAATATTCTCTATCTCCTGTTTGGTCATGAATTCTTCTGTTTTCCATAAATCTGATAAGTGAACTATTCCTTGCTCTCCCAGTTTGCTTACAGTATCAGCCTTTATATCTAAATCATGAACCCATTTTGACTTTGTTATGGTATATGGTGTGAGATTTTGATCAGTGCCTAGTTTCTGCCATACTCTTTTCCAGTTTTCCCGGCAGTTTTTTTCGAAGAGTGGGTTCTTATCCCAGAAGCTGAGGTCTTTGGGGGGTTCATCAAATAATAGATTACTATAGTCATCGACTACTGTGTCTTGCACTTAACCTATTCCACTGATCCACCTCCGTATTTCTTAGCCAGTACCAAGCAGTTTTGATGATTGCTGCTTTATAATACAATTTAGGATCTGGAATGGCTAGGCCACCTTTCCCTGCATTTCTTTTCCTTAGTTCCCTTGATATTGGGGACCTTTTGTTCTTCCAAATGAATCTTGTTACTACTTTTTCTAACTCTATAAAATAATTTTTTGGTAGTTTGATCGGTAGAACCAAGACTTTCTTCCCATGATTAGAGTTCTGTCTTCAATTGCCTTCACCTGGGAGAAGGAAATGGTCCGGAGAGCCCGAGGAAGCCCAGCAGAATCAGAAACGGAGCAAGGCGGCTCAAGGCATCAAGACAGACCTCTCCAACTTCACAGTCGTACCTGTCATACGTCTGTCTGCCACAAGATGGCAGAAAGTCACGGGCCCACTCTGTTTCCACCATGATTCCAGATGTGCAGATTTAGGACAGAGGACGATGGGTCTATAGCCTCCGTCATTCTGGACACTTCTATTAATACATCCCAAGCTCACATTAGTGTTGCCATGTAACACTGTCCATCCATTCTGGGTTCCCAGCCTACTACGACTCCCATGTCTTTGATAGATCCAGGACTTTTTGGAAAGGACCTCAAAACATCATCACCATCATCATCATCATGGCGACAGCTGACATTTATTTAGGTTTGCAAAGCACTTTACAAACAGTGTCTCATTTAATCCTCACAACAACCCGAGGAGGTGGGCCCCATTATCAATCCCATTTCACAGATGAGGAAACTGCGGCAAACAGACATGGAGTGACTTGCTCAGGGTCCCACAGATAGTAAAGGCCTGAAGGCATGTTTGAACTCAGATCTTCCTGACTCTAAGTCCAACACTCAATCCTCTGTAGCACCTTAGGGCCTCTAAGCCACCTCAGAGGCCATTTAGTCTAACCTCCTCCTTTAGCAGAGAAGGAAACTGAGTCCTGAGAGTTAGTGACTTACCTAAGGTCACAAGGGCAGTCTCCACAATGAGATTTACATTCAGGTCCTGTTATTCCAAAGTCAGTGTGTGGCCTAACCAAGTCGCCCCTTATTCTGTAGTTGAAAACAGCTGTAGGACTTTAGTCGGGTAGGGGCATGGGGAACAGGGCCAAGCCAAGCTGCGTGTCACCCTGGGTCCTTCAGTTTAGGCACTCCCCAGGGAAGGATAAGCTGGGAGGTGAGGGAGGGGTCCCCAAAGGGGGAAGGAGGCAAACTGGGGCTCTCCGAGAGGCCGGGGCCACTCCCGGATTTTGTGAACCCTTTGGCCATACATTTTTTAAAAATGAAGATACATAAACACAAAACGAGAAACTGAAAAAAGGAAATAAAATTCACATACAAATATAATTATTTAACAAACTACATCCTAGCCTTTTTCGCAGTCCCCAGTTGGTCCTGGGGGCTATGGCCCTCACCAATGTAGCCAATGTTCCAACGATGAATCAACCAACAGACATTTATTAAGTGCCTACTATGCACAAACCAAGAGGCTGGTAAGTCAATCTGCAAGCATTTACTATGTGCCGATGGAAACAAAGAAAGACAAAAACGGTTCCTGTTCTCCAGAAGCTTGTAAGATGAGATTTCTCTCCACCCCAGGAGAGGTGTGAGAGTCCCAGCCGATGGTCCCTGCCTATACAGGGCCTCTCACACCCGGCGTGTATCTGTGTGTGGATGGGGGAGGGAAATCAAGTCTGTGCCCCGATCCAACACTTCTGCTTGCCTCAGCCTGGGCACGTGACTGGCAATGTTGGCGTTATACCCCTGTGGGAGTGAATTTATCTGTCTGCGGGGGATGGCTCAGTGCGGTATAATGGAAAGAGTTAGACTCAGAGGACCTGGGTTCTAATTCTGACTCTGACATCTACCATTTGTGACCTTGTGAAAATCATTTAACCAATACGGGCCTCAGTTTGTCCTTTAAATGAAGGGCTTGGACTCAGCAACCTCTAAGGTGACTCTTCAGCCTTAAACCTATGATCCTGTGTTAATTTTGGTCTACAGAGTAGAGGAAGTGAACTGGGCCACGTGGGAGAAGGAGCTACAGACGCTGAAGGAAGAGCCAGAGGGCACTCTGGCGCCGGGGCAGACCCTCCCAGGTGAGTCTGCTCTGGGCACGCCTGCCTCCAGGACCCAGGGATAGGGTTTCCCTGGTGGCCAGGGCCACTCGCCTCGGGCAGCCAGAGCACATAGTTCAGCTTTCCACACCAGCAGCAGCCAGTGGTGAAAGGTTCCCACCACTTCTCTCCTTTAAGGCTTTTTGGATTGAGACAAGCAAAGCTAGGACCCCGGGAGAACACTGGGGAGATAGCCCCCCGTGACCGTCTGTCCCCCAGACGCCAAGCAAGGGCCAGAGCGAAGGGTCAACATCAGACGATTGTGGAGGCCCCTTGTGTAGAGGTTTGGGGTGCCAGGAACCCCGAGAATGACAGGGTACAAGGCGGAACTGCCTGGAATGAATTCACACCCTCAAGCCTTCTTTCAGTCAAGTGGCAAGGTTTATTGTAAGGCCAATAGTTTGAGGAACTTGCAAGTCAAAGAGGGTGAATCTAAAGCTTATATAGAAAAGGGGCAGGGACTAGACATGGAATCTAAATGACTTCAGGCAGAATTTGTTCAGACACCGGTTCTAGGAGCCTGGGCAAATCACAGTCTCTGTCTGCCTCAGGTTCCATGTCTACAAAATGGGGATAATCATAGCACCTACCTCCCAGGGTTGTTGTGAGAGAAAAAATGAAATGATACTTGTAAAGTGCTTTGCAAACCTTAAAATGCTGTTGTTGTTGTTGTGAAGCATTTATCTATCATGCTTGTTTTTTCCTCTTTTTATTTTTTTAATTTTTGTCTTTACCAAGTGCTGTTTGTTATTTGGGATGGCTCTCTGGAAGGAGCAGGGGAGAGAAACTGGGAAAAACCTGGGAAATCAAAGCATATCAAACATAACTTATTAAAAATAAAATTTTTAAAAAGAAAAAAGTGCTTAAAAAAAGGGGGCAGGGAAAGAAATGTTAAGGACGCTCATTAGGTAATGCTTGGGGTCCAGCTGTCTTTGGGAGCAGGCCTCAGTGATCCATGGATGGGAAAATACACGGAGTCTGCAGAGAGAACTGTTGATACCAGACACTGGCGGAGAAAAGATAGTGTTTGTTTAACAGCCAGAGGCATGGTCCTTGGACAAGCACCAGACACAGAAATCCCTGGGCCAGGCACCCCTGAGACAGCTTTTATCTGAGGAATTACAGGGCCAGGCCTGCAACAGGGAAGGATTTTCTCACAAGGGCAGGGCAAAGGCAGAGCTGGGCTCCTTTCAGAGCCATGGTCTTAGGGCTTTTTGGGATCCAGGTCCCATCACCCCATTGCCTTGTAGACCATATGCTTGATAATCTGTTCTCTTATGGGGTCTGTTGTAGGAAATTATCTACAAAAGTTGATCTGTTCTTATGCTTTCAGCAAGGAGGTGTACTTTTGATGTATATATATAGATTTTTCTCATATTATATAGACATAAGAAAGCAGGCTTGGGGTCAGCAGTTGCTGATATCTTTTCAGTCATTTTTAAAAAGCGTGATCCCTGATCAGTCCCATCCCTGCAGAATCTTCAGTAAAAAAATAAGCTTCCTCAAGGCAAGGCCTGTGTGGTGTTTGTAGCCGAGGAGGCTCAAGGCATCAAGACAAACTTCTCTACCGTCACCGTTCCAGTAAGGGAAGCAAAGGGAGTAGGGGCCTGAGAGCAGCACCCATCCCCAGTGCCTTGCATACTGTGGGGGCCTGAAAATGTTAAATGTCCATTAAGCTACACTGGCCCCTACATACAGTAGAGAGAATGGCGAACATGAATGAACATGAATACTAGCCCAGATACTTACTAGCAATGTGACCTTAGGCATGCCTCCATCTGGCCCTCAGTTTCCTCATCTGTAAAATGAAGAAGTTAGACTAGATGACCTCCCTTCTAGCTCTAAATAAGTCAACTCACCTCTCTTAAAGGCCTTGGTTATACATATAACAAGGCTTGTACTAGCTACCTCACACAGGGGTCATAAGGAAAGTAGTTTGTACTTTAAAAAAAAGGCAGGTAAATGGAAATTATTATGTTATACATTCATATAATTTATATACTATATACTTCATTATTATTAATTATATAATCATATAATTTGTACTTTATTATTATTATTTTTTCAGGCCACTTCAGAATTAAAACTATATGGCTCCCTTAAAAACTAAACTTATTAAATATTTATTAAATACATTAAATTAAATTAAAATTATAAAATGAACTCCCAGACTTGGGGGGGGAGAGTTGAAAAAGAGCTGGACTGTTTGTGCCTGGCCTGTGGTGGAGCCTCCAAGGTCCTACTGCTCTGATCGGCTGCAGTTGGACACACTGTACCTTGACCCCGATATACTGATGTCATTTTGGTCCTCTTCAAGCACAAAGGACAATCACCAACCACATTTGGAATCAGAGGATCCAGATTCAAATCTTGGTTCTGCTACTTTCCTGTGTGACCTTGGGGGAATCTTTCAACCTCTCTGAGTCTCAGTTTCCTCAATTGAAAAATGGGGGGGGTTGGACGAGATGGCTTTGAAGGTCCCTTCCAGCTGTAAATCAATTACCCATTGATCCATAGGGAGTGTCTCAGAGCCCTCTCTGTGCCTCAGTTTTCCTGCCTTTGTGGCTTGTTGGACCTGACCCGTGGGTAATGCGGTAATGGGAGTGGGCACTCCCCAGGGGTGTGCACACCCCTGATGATTTCCCAAAATGATGCATCAGCTTGGGTGAATTGTCTTGTTCTCAGAATATCTTGCCCTCTGCCAGTGTAGACACCAGCCCTCTATTCTCTGTTATAGGCACAGCCTGGAGGCGACTGCTGTCTTCAAGGCCTAGGGATCAAGCCCCGGCCTCGGAGGACCAAGTGCCCCTACGGACGTTCAGCGCCTGATGCCAGGAATGGCCCATGCAGCAGCGCCTGGAATCAAGTGCAGATGCCAAGAAGCCCCATGCTGGAGCCAGGAGCACCGTTGTGCTGACCCATGGAGGGAGGAAAGCCCCTCCCCCTGTGTTCCTGCTGCCCAACTCCAGAAGAACCCTATGGGCACAGGCCCCCAGGGGTTTTCATGCTCCGTTCTTCTTGTGGTGTTAGAGCACAGCTGCCTTAGATGCTAGGTTAGGACGGAACCCTGCCTCCAAAGCGTAACACACCAGGATGACCTTGGACAAATCCCTCCCCATCTCTGTTTCTGCTCCCATAAAAGGCAGATTGACCTACAATGATCTCAAAGACCTATTCCAATGTTAAGTCTACGATCTTCGAGGCAGCTAGGTGTTGCCTGGAGCTGGGAAGACCCGAGTTTGAATTCTGCCTCAGGTCCTTGCTGGCTGTGTGACCCTGGGCAAGTCAACTAAACTTTCAGAGCCTCAGTTTCCTCATCTGTAAAATTGGGATAATAGCACCTACCTCCCATGGTTGTTGTGAAGGTCAAATGAGATAATATATGTAAGGTGCTTTGCAGACCTCAAAAGCCCCATAGAAATGCTAGCTTTTATTGGGCTTATTATTAGTAAAAGTATTATTAGTAATAGTAATAGTAGTAAGTAGTAGCAGCAGCAGCAGCAGTAGTAGTAATAGTATCTGTATGGTATAGTGCAAAAACTGCTGAATTTGGAGTAAGAGGCCCTGGGTCCTTCAGATGTGCCTGTGGCCTAGTCATTTCCTCTTTCTATTCTAAAATGAGGGAGTTTGACTTTGATGACCTCAGGTTCCAATTCTGTGAGCCCGTGGGGGTGTCTCTGAAGCTCCCCCAAGTCAATCCCCACTTGGCCCCAAGTGCCTGGAACCTCAAGGGTGGGCCCAGGGATGCAGGCCTCTCCCTACTATCATTCTCAGGAACTAAGAGACAATGACCCTGCAGGGCACTCAGACCCTCATGCCAGGGCTGGGCAGGTTTCCAGGCTGTCTACATACACAGAGTTGAGAATGCAGGTAATTCACTTTCTAAGTGTGTGTGTAGACGTAGTCTTCCCAGACAAAGACAGGCTCCCACTACTAGAAACTGACAGCCTTGAAGAGGCAAAGTGATATATATGGAGAGATGGGGATAGGGCAGGGGATGCCGGGTCCCATGAGGTGGGGATGGTCTGCTAGCTCAGAGACTGCAAGCTCCCTGAGGGCAAGGCCTAAACATCCTTTGATCTGCCCAAATGTCTAGCACACTAGAGAGCCTCATACTTCAGAGACACCTGATTTCATCAGTGTATGTGCCCCCTCCCGTGAGGCAAACCTACATCTTAGTAAACCTCTTCAGGAGAGCCATCACCTGGGAGCCAGCATGCTGGTGCGGAGCCCTCTTTAGTTTAACAAAGTGCCCTGGGGAGCCCTGGTAGGACCTTCCAGAGCATGACCTCAAATGTCAGCCCGGACGAGCTGGGGCCGTTCCTTTTTCCTTTTTCTTTTGTACTCCCAGCCCCTAGAACGTGCCTGGCACTTCCTTGGGGCTTCCTAAATGCTGGTCAAATAAGGCAATGAGGCTTTGTAGGAGGCTGTTGGTGGAAATGGAGCCCATAAAAGATACCAATGATCTGTCAAATGAAACTCCGGAGGCTGGCGTTTAAAGCCTGTATAACAGTCGGACTCCAACCTCACTTTGCCGGCTTACTCCACAGTACGGTCCCCTGCTTTACTGCTCTCCGTTCCGGCCAAACTGGATTGCCAGCTGTGTCCTCCAAGCGCCATTGCAGCTCTGGCCTGGGCATTCTGACCAGCTGTCCTTCCCCTCCGCCAGCCTGCCTTCCAGCCTCGGCTCGCTTCCCAGGTCCTGGGCCCCTCAGCTGGGAGGGCGTGCTTCCTCCTCCCTTTTCCTGGACTTATCTGGAGCTCATTTTTGCCTTCATTGCACCATTGCGTGGTTCGTATCTTCCTGATTTGTGCACATATCATTTTTCTTCAAATAGACTGTAAGGTGATGGAGGGAAAGATCTTTGTCATTTCTCATCCTTGTATCTTCAGGGCATCATAGCACAGTGTCATATTTAGTAGGCATCGAATAAATTTGTACTGATTTGAATCAATTAATATATGTAGAACATGAAGTAAATTATATAATTAAACTCTAATACATCACCACCTCTCTGTGATGACTTTCAGACCTACGGGTGTCAGCCAAATCTCCCTTCTCTGATGCAGCCCACCATCACCCACTGCCTGTTGAGTATCTCCACCCGGATGTCCTGTAGACATCTAACTCAGTATTTCCAAGCCAGAACTCCCTATCTTCCTCCCAACGTCCTTATTGCTGTCGAGGCACCAATATCTTTCCAGGTACCCAGGCTTGTAACCTTCGAGTCCTCGCTCGCCACATCCAATCGTTGGCCAAGCCTCGTCCGTTCTCGTCCATCCACAACCGCTCCTTGCAGAGGTTCCATAGTAGGCACTTAACAAATGCCTCTTGACTTGTTCCCTTCTCCTGCCACCCTACTTCAGTCTCTCAGCTGCGCTGTTACAACAGCCTACAAATTGGTTCTCCCAAATCAGTTATTCCCACCTCCAATCAATCAATTCTCCACCCAAGCTGACAAAAATAGCACAGATCTGACCACGTCACTTTTCTGCTCAAAGCTCTTCAGTGCCTTTCTTTCTTCAGAGGCAATCGAAGGTAAGTGACTTGCCTAGGGTCACACAGCTAGCAACTGAGTTCGGATGCGAACTCAGGTCCTCCAGGACTGGTGCTCTATCCACCGCACCACCTAGCTGCCCCTTTAGTGACTTCCTACAGACAAAGATTTTGTCTGTATCTTCAGTGCCTCTCAAGGTGCTTAACAAAGGTTTGTAGAAAGAATGAACAAATGTGATGCCACACTGACACTCATCTATACCTCAAACTCATCCCTTCCCTCTATGCTACAGCAAATGTAAATCTCCATATGAAGGGAAAGGCAGCTCCATTTCACAGAAAGAATCCAGGGCAAGGAGTCAGAAAAATCTAGGTTCGCAGATGTGCTGGTAAGTGTTTTAACAACAGGCTCTGTGAAAAAAAATGTACAAGCAACTCCCTTTTAAGTTTCATCTCCATAATTAACATTTTCTCCACCACTTTTCGGTCACTAGAACAATAAATCAAACCTCCATTTATGGAGTTCGTCAATTTCTGAGGTGCAAGGCCCAATGATGGCAGGTTGGAGTGACCTGGGTTCAAATCCCAGCTGCAGCATACACTAACTGTGTGACCCTGGGGAAGTCACTCTACCTCTTTAATGCTCTGATGTGTTATTTCCCCCATTAGAATATGAGCAGGATCTGTCTTCCTTTCATTTATATCCTTATGCTTAGCACAGGGCTTGGCATGCAGTAAGTAGCTCTAAAATACATGACTGTTTTGCACACAGTAGGCACTTCATAAATGCTTACTGGCTGTTTTGCACACAGTAAGCATTTAATACGTCCTTCCTTTCTTTTTTCCTCTCTTCCTTCTCTCCCTATCCTTCCCTATGAAATGGAGCTCCTAGCATCTCTGCCTGATGAAGAAGAAAAACCAAAGCTCCTGCCACGCCCCCTTTCGCCGCCCCACGTGGCTGAGGGGGCATGGAGCCCAGGGACTCGCGGTTTCTTTAAAATGGAATGGACGATTCCATTCCAGAGAGCTCCCCTTCTGCCCCACCCCCGCCGCCCTCAGGAATGGTACGTTCCAGCACGTTAAGAACGGCGGCCGGCGCACGCTCGCTCTTTTCGCCCTTGTTACCACCATGTGTCAGGGGCTTGAGTGGGAACGTTGCCGGGCCCAGTGTTGGCTCAACAGCCGGGGCAGCGAAGGATGAGACGCCTCTGCGGAAGGTAGGCTTGCCGGCCCAGGTGACAGAGGCGAAAGCAGGCTGGCTGGGAGGGAGGAAGGATAAGGAGAGCCCGGGCCGCGGCCCGATGTTTCTGCGCCTGCGCCGAAGGCATTTCCCCCCCCCGCACGCTGTGCTCTACTGCGCCTGCGCGTTAGCGGCGCCTCTTAGGGCTCTCCTGGAGCCACGTGGGGCCGTGTTGGGGATTCCTCTGCTCAACCGGGCTCCGGGGGCCCCAGTAGCAATGGAAGGAGCCCCAGATTTCGGAGTCACGGGACCAGGATCTGAGTCCTGGACAGATAACGTCTCAACTTACCTACCTTTAAAGTTGGGGGAGGTGGTCAGAGGGACGGTGGTCCCTTAGGGCTCCGAGTCCGCGGCTCTGCGCCCAACCTTGATCCTCGCCCCGGGCGTAGCAGAGTCACCGCCAGGACCGTCCTCAGAGTCCGACCGTTGGGTCTGCTGCGGAGTGATGAGAACCCAGAATAGGAAGTGCCGTCAGACTCGATAACTGACGATAGCCTTAGCTGGTGTCTGACCCGCGGCCTGCCCTGGCGGGCCGGGCCCTCGGAGGGTCCCGGGGGGGCCCCTCCCCTCAAGTCCTCTGCTTCTCTCCCAGGGCAGTAGCTGAAGTGGCGGGAGATGTGACCCGAGTGGACCGTGCGCGTGTGAGCTTCCCCGGGTAGGCGTTTGTCCTGATTGTCCGCAGCTTTGCCTTCAGCCGCTCCTCCCAAAACTGCAGGCCAAGGGCCTCCCTCGATGAAGACGGGACAGAGTCCAAGTGGAGCCAGTACCTTCTTTCTATCGGAGTGACTCCCGGACGCCCTGATGTGTGCCTGGCCGTGGGTGTTCAGTAAATGTTTGTTGGCAGACTGGTAATAGTGATGTGACCTGAGTACTCGTGTTGTGTGGCCTCCCGAGCAGTTAAACGCTACCGTGGCTGGCCCCGGGATAGTGTTTGTCAGGAAAGGACTAGGAGCCCATCTAGGGCTTTTTATGATGAGATGAAACCTGAACAGCTGGAATTACCGGCAGATTGTCAGTGGTGACAAGGTTTTGTTCTGATTCAGCTTGGAATTTAGCAGATTGTCCCTTTGCACGTGAGCTGCAAAGTAATGTTTTGGTTTTTTTCCCCTTTTTCAGGAAGGTGTGCTTCTCAGGATGTACTAGTAGTACTCTTCTCAGGTCAGTAATACTTTTTATGCTATCTTTCACAGCGTTGGTTTGTAATTGGCAGCAGTCTCCTCCCAACCCTCTTCCCGAGAGTGTTTGAAAATGTTAATTAGGTAGTGAAAAGTAATCTTATTAGGTTTAAGTTGGTTTTATTAAGGGGGTTAGTTTAGTCTCTTTTTTTTTTTTGGCTAGACAGTGGGGTTAATGACTTACCCAGAGTCACACAGCTAGTGAGTGTTATGTGTCTGAGGCCAGACTTGAACTCGGGTCCTTTTGACTCCAGGGCCAGTGCTTTATTAGCTGCCCCCTGGGTTAGTTTAATCTTATTACCCACTCCAGGAGCTGGGTTCCCTTTCAGATTCAGTGCCCCTAAATGGCTGGACCAGATGGGATTGATTGCCAGGCTCCTGGTGCCAAAGAACAGGGTTTGGGGTTGTTTTTGGCTGTTAATGATGATACCACTCAATAGGAAGTGCCGTCAGATGCGATAACTGACGATGAACTTGATCACGTCTGACAGCAGCCGTCTGCCCTAGCTTCTGTGGGTAACTGACTTGTCCTTAAACCTTTGTGTTTTATCAGTTTTCTTGCATTCTTCTTCACTGATGCTTTTTTTCTTTTCACTCTCACCCTCCAGTAACGAAGAATCCATGTTACAGAGCAGACTGGCATCATTAGCAGGCTGTAAGGAGGTAAGACTTAGAATATGGATGGAAAAGTACTAAATTAAAACTAATATTCATGGCAAGATATTAAATGATGAAATTCACCCAACAAGCTGGAATTACCGGCAGATTGCTTGGTGGTGAGCCCAAGGTTTTCTGATTATATCATTGGTCATAAATGAGAATGTTTGATGTGGTATGCAATGAAACTAATGTTTATTCCTAATTGTAGGCCATAAAAGACTCTTGAAAGATTCAGACAGAAGCCTGCATGTGATGGCAGTGATGCCCTCTGGATGAGATGGTGAAGACTTGGCTTTGAGTGACATTGTTTATGGCTTTCATTGGGTTTCATGAAACTTATTTGCAGTTGCTTAGCAGAAATGTTTTAGGATGGTGTTTGACCATATATTGTTTACTGTAAACATCCTGCCAAAAGGTTTAATAAGTTGTAATTAGCATAAGAGGCTCTTGGGATGAAATGGTGTCTGCCTGGTAATCAGTAGTGTTCTTACCCCTGGGCATAGCCTTGCATATCAAAGGAAAGGTTAAAAAAAAAGTAATAGCTTGCCCCATTCTCTAGAATTGACACTAGCATGTGCAGAGGTAGGTTTCTTGTCCTGCTTCTCCCCAGAATTATAATAAGCCATCCTTTGGTTTTCTCCCTGTCAAAAACTCCCTACCCATCTTGCATTAAATAGTGTCTTGGCAGGCCATATCATTGCAAAGGCAGCCTCAAGTGAGGCAGAATAAAACTTGGAGCTGAAAAAGGAAGAATGACCTATGGCGTTGTTTAATTATAAAGAGCTATAACACAGCGCTCCTTTTCTAAGAACGTTGCTAAGCTGTCCTGATCAACTAAATGAACCATTTGGAGTTCAGCGTTGGTGCTAATTAAATTTCTTACCTGGGTATAGAGTATAACCACTGAAGGCATTGATTGTATTAAGCTCATTTTAATTAAAATCGTCAGAAAACATTTTCGTTCTGTTTGTGTTGTGTAAAGTAATTGTGGGCCCACCTGAAAATAAAATTTGAACCTTGTATGCAAGAAAGCAAACTAAAGCTAAGTTGGTTCTTTTAATTGGGGATAAAAATCAGGTGGATGGTGGGACAGAAGTGGATTTGGGTCCTTGCTGGGGTGAGACCTTCACTTCATCTTGTTTGCTGCTGGCCTTGAAGGCCTTGCAGAGCTTCCCGCTTCATTGCACGTGGCAAGACACGGCTGACTCGGCTTTGCCTCTTGGGAGAGCAGGTGCCAGGTGCTCTTAAGACTGGGACTGCCATTCCTCTTGTTGATGGTGGGAAGGAGGACTTTTATAGGGATCGAGTGGGTAGAAAGGGTTTTAGTCGAGTTCTTGGTAGACCAGGCTTGGAGAGAGCACGGGCAGCCGGAAAAGGGGCTCAGCTGAGGTAGAGCCTCCGCCTCCTGCCACCAGAGAGCCCACAGATCACGCCACAGAGACGATTCTGGCCCCAGGTTGGAATAGTGACTTCCACTAGGCGGAGCTGTGAGTCAGTCAAGGAAGACACCCGCCCCCCCAACATTCTCCTCTTTACTGGTTATTCCCACCCATGTTAATCTAGGCAGCTGTCCCTACCTTCATTTAGGACTGGGCCCAGGGATTGAATTAGGCCCTGGCCTGTAGGGAGCTGACTGGAGGCAGAAGTTTAGAACCTTATCTCTGGGTGACCTCTGCTTTGTGATAAGCAGTCCATCTACAGCTTTTATTGGTGCAGTATGAGAGAGGGAGCCATAGGACCATGGAGTCACTCCTGATGAAAATGCTAGAGTGGCTTCCTGGTGCCTTTGTGGCAAAAAAGGTCTAGAACAATGAGAACAGATGAGGACATCGTGGTCCAGAGCGTCGTGCCCAAAGATCCTGATACCCACTGAGGATCTGAGCCTCTGCAACACGGGCCTGCCTACAAAGCCCCTCACCGTCCATCATGGCCCCCACAGCCCGGATTCACTGCTTGGTGTCTGCAGTTAGAGCCAGCAGTGACCTGAGCTCTTCTGTACTGGCCTTGCACTTTGCCACCCCCACAGGGGGCAGCTAGGTGGGGCAGTGGATAACGAACTGGCCCTGGAGGCAAGAGGAGCTGAGTTCAAGTCTGGCCTCAGACACATTAAGGCTCACTAGCTGTGTGACTCGGTAAGTCACTTAACCCCACTGCCTAGCCAAAAAAAAAAAAGACTAACCCCCTTAATAAAACCAGCTTAAACCTAATAAGGTTATTTTTCACTAGCTAGTTAACATTTTCAGATACTCCCGGGAAGAGGGTTGGGAGGGGCTTCTCTCCAGAGGGAGTCACTGAAGCTCGGCAGAATGACAATTTTTTTACTTTGATTTTGCATCTCAGCTTTTCATCGCTCCTATGCCACCAGCCCAAGCCTCTTATTCTGGTGGTGGCCATGGGCTGTTGGTGTGGACAGGACACTTATTTCCTGAAATGTTGTGGTCAAAGTGTAGGCCCAAAGTGCGACAGGCTCAAGAAAAATGAACGGGGAGGACCAGAGAGGGCGAGGAAGGGGTGTATTCCAAGCATGGGAAGGGAATCCTGGGTACGGGAACAGGTGGGAGAGCATTCAGTCATAGGTGCAGAGCTGGCCGGGACCTCAGGCCATCCAGTCCAACCTCCTCTTAGGTTTGAGGATGCTGAGGGCCCGAGAGATTGCCTGCCCAAGGTCACGTAGCTGAGGTGGCAGACGGAAGCCAAGGTCAGCCACTGCAGCTACCTCTTGAGATGGAAAAGAGGCAGGAGTCCAGTGTGGTCGAAAGTGGATTAAATTAAAAGAAGGTTGTGAAAACCAAGAAAGGAGAGCTGTATCCAACTGTGCCCTGGATTTGAGGCAAAGGACTTGGGTTTGGTTTTAACTTATAGCTGTGTGATAGAGGGGTGGGACCAGACCAGGTGGCCTCTGGTTATAGAGCCCTGTGATGAGGAGGAAGAAGAGAGGGGCTGGGAAGGACCAGAGCACCGAGACATCTTCCTCTGTGCCCAGCTGCTGAGCAGAACGAGGGGCCCACGTGGGGAAGAAGAGGGGGCAGGGGCCATGCATGAAAGCTGGCAATGAGAAAGCGGCTTGGGCCACCTTCACCTTCCAGCTGTGTGGTGCCTCATTCACCCTGGTCATAGGCTGCCGGTGACTCAAGGCAGGCAATGTCTAGGTGAGGTTTAAAGGGCGAGGTAGAAAGGCAGCTACGCCTGGGATAAGGGAGTCCTGACCTGACACTTACCTTATGTGCAAGTCACTTCAACACGGTCTCAGCCTCAGTTTCCTCGTGTCAAACAAGGTTGTGATGATCAAGTGACCTAATACATATAACCATAAATGTTAGCAACTATTAGCTATCACGGGGTGTGTGTGTGTGTGTGTGTGTGTGTGTGTGTGTGTGTGTCTATCCATAGTCTTCAGGGACTCAGGACACCAGCCCCAACTTTCCCCAGCTGTCCCGCACAGGGAGGAGCCAGGTGAAACTCCCATTATCTCCTGTGGGAGGGGTGGAGGCACTCTCTTCCTTCGTTTTCTCCACAAGGGCCCAGGCAACAGCCAGCTCCCCAGTGCTCCCTCTGCCCCCGGAGCAATTAAGAGGAAGCTGAATTAGAGCTGGACAAGTCTGCAGAATCAATGTGCCAGTAACTGGCAGTGCCGGATTTACTCGGCTTTGTCCATGGCCTGGGCTTCCAGGCAGAGGGAGACCAGAGATGGACGGTGAGGATTCCTCGTGGCCCCATGTACCCTGCCTGGCTTCCCTGCACTAACCCCCTGAAGCCTGCTCATCAGTCTCAAGGAGGGGAGGAAGCCACCACTGAAATTCCCAGCCTGGTTCCCAGCTAACTATAGGGTCTCCAGTCTCCCCACAGCCATGATACCCAGGCACTGGCAGGCAGTCACATGAAGCAGCTGAGCTCCCGAGTCCGGAGGGGGGATTTGGATGTGAAGCAAGGAGGATGCAGGTTAGCTGTAAGGGACAGCCAGCCCCGATGGAGGGCGTCTCTTGCTCGGGGCAGCCTTCAGAATAGGGGAGACAGCCTGCCCCTGCCTCCATCTGAGTTCTTCAGACTGGACCCTCCCATTCCTTTGCACTTACTCCTCCAAGAAGCCTTTGTCGATGCCCCCGCCTGCTGGTGTCTTCCTCCCACCCCATGCCCAAATTGCCTTTTATTTATTGGATCTGGACACGCCATGTCTCCATTAAAATGTAAGCTCCTCCAGGGCAGGGATTTTCAGTTTTGTCGTTTTACCCCCAGCACAGACTGTGCTCAAACCCCGCCTCCCGCCTCCCGCAGGACTCTTCCAGGGGATGCAGCTTTTAAAATCCACTCTGTATACAATCAGCCTGTTTCACTGTGTTGTTTCAGCTGCATCTGACTCTTTGTGACCCCATTTGGGGCTTTCTTGGCAAAGATACTGGAGTGGTTGGCCATTTTCTTCTCTGGCTCATTTTAGAAATGAGGAAACTGAGGCAAACAAGGTGAAGTGACTTGCCCAGGGTCACACAGCTAGTGTCTGAAGCTGGATTTGAACTCAGGATGATGAGTCTTTCTGATTCCAAGCCCAGCATTCTATCCACTGTGCACCTAACTGCCCATATATCCCATTATGTGTACCAAGTTATTTATGCATGTAAGGTCCTTGAGGGGAGGGACTATGGGGGTTTTTTTGCCCTTTTTTGGGGGGGGGTATCCCTACTGCTTTGCACAGTGCCCAGCACATAGCACTTGATCAATGCTTATTGATTGAAGCAGACAAACTGATTTAAGGGGCTCATCTAGGCTCAGAAACCGGGAATACCCAGGGCAGGCTGACCTGCGCAAAGCTCAGGAGCCTCAGGAGGCCTTTGCATGAGCATGAAGCCCGCCTGCGTCACTGGCTTTCTGCCCCTCATTGCCTCCCTCCCGAGCCCCCTTCCCGGTCAGCTTGCACCCCTCCCTTGGCTCCAGGCCACAGTCACCCAGCTGACGCTACAGAAGTGGCCACCCCTGAGGTGCCAGGGGTGCTGCAGTCCTGAGCCTCCCCACTCCTCTGCTCACCCCTCCAGTGACGAGCGCTTGGCCCAGTGTGAGGAGCTCCCAGCCCAAGGCCGCCCTCTCCTCCTTGGGCCAGCTTTGCAAAATGTCCCCATGCAGGTCAGCTCCCCAGCTTCCCAAATCAGCATGTTGCCAACAACATGTCCTATCAGAACACAAGATTCTTGAAAGCAGGGATTTATCTTGTTTTTTTTCATTTTTATTCCCAGGAATTCCTAGTAATCACTTCAAAATGCTTCCTTCCTTCCTTCCTTCCTTCCCTCTCCCCATCTGGCAGGACTGTGTTCTCACTAAATCCTTGTCCCTTCCTGCCCTGAGACCTGAGGCCTAGGACCCTGAGTTCTTTCATCAAATGAGGGGAACGAAGGAGATGGCCTCTGGAGCCCCTTCCAGGCCTAAATCTATGATCTGGAGCAGCAAGTGACCCCAGAGGCCAACTCTAGCTCAACCCTCTCATTTTACAGATGTGGAAACTGAGACCCAGGGAAGTTAAATGACTTGCCCAAGGTCACTCAGGTAGTAAAAATCAGAGATCAGATTGGAAGGCAGGTCCTCTGAGTGCTCTTTCCAAAGTACCAGGTGTCTAGAGATAAGGGCAGCATCTGGCTGTGGACTGCATTCCTCGGTCAGGGCCAATTTCTGTTTACTGACCCCAGATATTGGCTTCAGGAACTGCAGCAGCCTCCCCAACCCAGCTGGAGCTTCTGAGATGGGCCTTCCCTTCCAGTCTACAGTGGAGAGCCAGCCCAGCCCAATCCCGACCGGCCTGACTGGGGACCACCATGGAGGGACTGGGAAGGCCATATTGCATCTGATAAGGGAGAGAAGGGAAGGGGGGGCCCTTGGAGGAATGGAGGAGAGGCCGATGCAGATGAAACTGGGGAGATGCTGTGTAGATGGTCAGAGCTCAGCCTCCCCTGCAGTCCCCTCCGCCCGGGGCAA